TCTGGTAAGGATCGTTAAAGAACTGATGATGGCAGGGAATTTGGCATTCAATGGTAGCTGGTAAGATGCGCGAGCAGACAAAAGACTGTAGACTCGCGCAAGACTTATTTAAATCAGGAGTAATTATTTACAATTCAGGTAACTATTAAATATTACTTTAAATATACACTAAATTAAATGCAACATATAACTCCCTAAGTGTGTGTGTGTGTGTGTGTGTGTCAAGATAACTCCAGGAAGAATTAATAACAAAAATGACAATACTAATATAATATACATTGTTTATATATCTATATACGTTATGTAAATATATACGAGTCATATCTTCTAGAGTTTATATATAAATGTCTCAAAATATATGATTACGTTGTAGTTATGTATGTACAATTTATCATGTAATTACAGGTAAAACACTTGGCACTTAAAGATTACCTGTGTGTTGGCTCATTAAAGATGATCAGGTTAACAATAAGAGTGAGGGAGAACGGCCTGGTAGCACACAACCATAAACCCGGGTTAATGGGTGGCGATTATAGCCTTAAAAGGGGTCGCCTGTCATCTCTTTTATTAGACGGGAGACCGCACTCGGTTCAGAGCTGCCTGCAGTAGCCCACACCTTCTGCCGCAAGCTGTGACCAATGTTTTCCACCGTATGGGTTTGTCCGGAAGCGATGGCCATGCAGGAACATTTTGTGGCAGGGTGCGGTTCATTGAGCTGTAGGCCAGATATTCTGCGGTAGGGTGCGGTTCATGAGCTGTAGGCGAGATATTCTGCGGCAGGGTGCGGTTCATTGAGCTGTAGGCGAGATTTTCTGCGACAGGTTGCCGTTCAAGAGCTGTAGGCGAGATTTTCTGCGGCAGGTTTCGGGTAATGAGTTGTAGGCGAAATTTTCTGCGGCAGGTTGCGGTTCAGGAGCTGTAGGTGAAATTTTCTGCGGCAGGTTGCGGTTCATGAGCTATAGGAAACATATTTAGCAGCGGAGAATATATGTAAGCGATACTGACATAAGGATGTGGTGGTGGTGGCGATCCTGTGTTATGCTTTCAAGACAACATCCTCTCGACGTGTTAAACTTTCAAAACAACACAGTCATGATAGTTAATTTATTATGCTCCCTTGAACGTGTTATGATGAGAAATTAATGTAGGTTTTTTTTTTTTACTCTGTTGATCAAGCGAGATATTTTAATGTGTTATGTTCAGACAAGTGTAGCTTTTAAACTGCATTGTGTACGTGATCGGGTAGTAATGACTCTCTCTCTCTCTCTCTCTCTCTCTGTGTGTGTGTGTGGAATACCAATGAGGTGGGACGTGTGACGCTCGAGGGCGGTGATGGTTGTGGTGATGACACATTCCAAGTTCGGCAAAGGAAGTTGGGTGATTGAGCCGGATTGGGTATATCCCGGAATTGATATGTAACCCAAAGAAGAGCAATGGCGAGGAAGGGGGGTGGGGGGTGAATGGATATTAAAGAAGTGACACTACCCTCAGTTTTTAATCTTGTGAGATTTATTATTATTTTAACATTTTGAGTATAATGGTTTAGCCCCTTGAGTATGATGATTTAACCCCTTGAATACGATGACTTAACCCCTTGAGTACGATGACTTAACCCCTTGAGTACGATAAATTTAAGCCCAATTCCTCTTCCAATCCCGGGTGACCAAGAGACGATAGTGTGTAGATGCTTACATAACGACAAGCTGCGTAGAATCATCCACCACACAGCCATCACCCGCCTTAGTCCCTCAACACACCACGAGCTGTTTCCCATGTCGAGGCTCCTACTAAACCATACTTTACTGCCGTCAAAAACACCATGGTAGCGCTCGTCTCTTTCCCACCGTTTCAAACAATATATATGCCGTAATGAGGTGTATGTCTGGTCATGTGTGGGTGTAATGTGAGAGAAATAACAGGGAAGCGGAAAGGCGGAAGGGAAGTTAAGGTATGATATATGAGGGAGAAACAGTTTTCCGCATTTGATTTGACTTGGTTGACATCCTACCTGAAGGGGTAGGGGGGGGGAGGGTGGAAAGGTAAGATCAGGTCAGGTTTGGCTTGAATATGTTAATGCTAGGTTGGTTTAGGTTTAGGCTAGGTTAAGTTAAAAGTAGGTACGTTAGATTAGGTTAGATTAGGTTACATGTGGCTATATTAGATCAGATTATGATTGGTTAGGTTAGGTCCGGGTGTGGGGACTAGACAGCACCGTACTCGAGTGTGACGACGACTTCACCCGTGTGAGACATTACTGTGGCAAGACCACTTCCGGATGTTGGTGTCACGCCCTGGGTGCTGTAGGTTACCTCAGGGAGAAGATGCCGCAGGAACCAGAAGAAGAAGATGCGGCAGGAACACCAGAAAGATGCGGCAACAATCAGAGGAGAGATGCGGCAGGAACACCAGAAAGATAATGCCGCAGGAACCCCAGGATCATGATGCCGCAGGAACACAAGGAAGTAGATGCCGCAAGAACCCCAGGATAAGTGATGGAGACTATATACAGTACTTGAGGGAGACTTTGTAGGAGACCGGGAGACGCTATACACCAGGTGGCAGGAAGAAGAAACTTACCTACTGATGAGAGAACTTTTGTCCCCTTCGCCAGCTGATAGTAACTTACCTAACGTTCGCCAGACGACCTCCCCTTCACAATACGTAATCATCAGGCTCGTCTTAACCCACCCCACCCCACCCCACGCTTCGTCAATATAAAACAACTGCCTTATTTATCCATACAGAGATCTAGACAGTGTAACTCCTATCCTACACTAGCCATTATCCTAGATCACCAACGGCGCCGCCCCCAGGAACAGGATGTGCTTGGGGAGGCTGACTAATCATCGTGTGTAGAAGACCCGCGTGAGTATTCATCAAGGGGGCTGTGTTGTAACGAGGCTGTGGCGGGGATATTGTTTTGTTATGTTCTTCTCGTGCTGGTGTGGGTGTGTGGGTGTGTGTGGGTGTGTGGGTGTGTGTGTGTGTGTGTGTGTGTGTGTGTGTGTGTGTGTGTGTGTGTGTGTTCTCTGTATCGGGTCATATATCTATAGTAAATTATCTATCTCCCTCATGATAATTGAGGAAAATTGTCGATAACTGAAGTGTCGATAATTTCCAAGGTAGTGCAGGTTTAGAGATACAGGAGGTGTGATGTTGGTAATGACGGCACTCGTGTTGAAGTGTTAAGTGAGGTGCTGTAGTAGGAGGGAAGACAGGGAGAGGAGAATAATGTTTTAGGAATGAGAAGCACGAAATAGAATTGTGAACTTCCTTCCTGTAATATTCGTGTGTCTCGGTTGTGTGTGAATGTTCTTTGCACTTAACGTTTCCTCGAGTGCGTTCGTTAACCCGCAAAACATTGACACTACGCTACACTGCAAGTTCCTGGGGTGGTGTTCGTCTGGCCACTGACTCTCTGGGCTTTTGTCGTCTGTAGAACACTTATCCTACCCTTAGACACGACCCCCCCCCACGAGCCAACTAGGACAGACACATAGAATACATATCTAACACTTGAGCATTAGAAAAATCTAGCGCAGTGAGATGGAGAGGGAAAATTCGAGATATGGGTAGCCAAGTGTACATGTTGGAAGGTTCTGAAGAGTCCTAGCATCAGCCTATCACGTGCATGCTGAATAAATACAGAAATAGAGAAGGTTATTTTACAGTACAGGAGGTCTAGTAACGTGGTGTAAGTGTTGGTATACTGAAGGACTTTATAAATCACTAGCACATCAAGAGCCTATAGCAAAGACTCAATTACTGTAACATATTACCCTGTACCCTCACTAACATATTACCCTGTACCCTCACTGTAACATATTACCCTGTACCCTCATAGCATCTCACCAAGCACCTGCCGTCACTTCTACTTCGTGAATGCAGTTACTTGAACCCATAGACACTGATGAGGACCCGTTGTGTAGATTATATAACCAGCACAGTATTTAAGGAGTTCCATAAACTGTTTTCCGAAAATAAACTCAATACAATTCCCCCACATACATACAGTACATAAATAAATAGATATTGGATGCCCCTCGAAATCTAGGATGACCGGCCCATAAGGGGCACCTAGGCGTGAATTTATTTAAGGTGTAGAAGCTGTCGCCGACAACAACCACACCCTGAGTTAACGAGTTGCATGACCCAGCGTCAAGGAATAGTCCGAGAAAACCTGACAACTCCACTGCCTAACCATTACCCAGGAACACGATCCGCAAATCGATTAACATCCAGTTCCCCAACTACAGCTGGGTAGACAAAGGCGAATGATAAGAAACTTGCCCATAGTTTCACTTTGCCCGAGGATCGAACCCGGGTCCACTCGCTTGCGAGGCGAGCATGCTGACCATTACATCACAGGTAACCATACATATTTACATACCCCGACACACGCGGTACACTTCCACAACACACACACACACACACACCAAAGACAATATACGCGCGCACACACACAGTTTGGTCGAAAATCATATAAAATTTAATAATATTCCCATCATGTCTGGACACGGGCAGTGGACAGTTGGGGTCAGTTTGTGTATGTTAATAGTCACCTAAACGCCCACGTCAACTCGGCATGTTTACAAAGTAAGATGTCTTACGGGCCTTGAAGATTGAACTTGTATACCGCCGAAGTCAAGGTTATGAGGATGAGAATAACAATGCGTGGATATATATAACTTGTCGTCTTAGTGCCTTTCTGTCACTTTTTAACACTTATTACGTTAGGTAATGTAAGGACAGGTTAAGTTAAGTCAAGCATTCTTTTACCTAATTCCCCCTTCCCCATTTCATTGAAATTTCTGTACCCCTTGATCAATCTCACACCAAAATAGGAAAGAAGATAATAATGAAACTAATAGAGGTGCTATAATAATAATAATAATAATAATAATAATAATAATAATAATAATAACACGACCAAAAGCAAAATGTAAACATGATTTTTATACCAGATGTGAAGTTAATTGAACACTTTATTATTTACTTACCTGAGAAATAGCACTGCCTTTATCATCTTCATTACGATAAAATTGGTGGAGACTTCGATGCGAGTAAAAATCAATTCTAACTTTCAGAAAGTAATCTTGCACGAGTCCTTTACATCAGAAACTCCCGCCAGTCTTAAGGGAGTATCAAAGTGTGTTTTATGATCAGTTTAGTCAGTTCAGTAAACAAGGAGACTATGTAAATGAACTTATTTTTGTTGGTTTTTAATTAATTTCGTTTGAATCTTAAATTAATAGCGAAGATGCCAAGTTTATCAGTAAGTTAATTTTATCACTAGAGTTAAAAAAAATGGATTAAGTTCGATATATAATCGTTACTTTGATTGGTTAATTTTTTATAACAGTTGATTAGACTGAATATTTTAACATGCAATTAATTACTTTAGAAACTACAATAACTCGCATAAAATATTACCCTCAATACATTTAACTAAACTCCGCTATGCTTAGATTAAAGTAAATTAATTAACACGTGTACTTAAGTGAAGTATTATACTAAAGAGAAATTAAATCAATTCCACTTAATTAGTCACAACACAAAGACGGACATAAGGTACTAGTGTTCTCCACCCCTGTCCCCACACTCACGACGACCACCGAGGCGATGAAGACCCGGGCGGAGGAATAATGGCTCGCGACACACACATACAGTGACGTGTTGGGAGCGTGTGTGTGTTGCGTGCAGCCGCCAACGTTCCCTCCCCCGTACTGACAACTCCGACATAACTTAACAACAGGACCTACAGCACGTGCTTGGTGGACAGGGAGGGAGCGAGGTAGTGAGTGAGGAAGGGAGGCGGGGGGAGAGAGGCAAGAAGTGAGTAAGGGAGGTAAGGGCTGGATGTATTGAGACTTGTTCTTAATATTAATGGTCAGTTTCAGTTAGCTTGGGGTCAATAAGACTGAGGCCCAGGTGAGCGTATGTATGCATCTCTACCTGTGTAACTGTACTCCCCAGCATAGCCACAGGGGGGGGGGGGCTGAGTGGTCCCATAGTGACAGTTGGTGCCGTCACAACAGTCTTTGGGAGGTTTTTCTAAGAGTTAACAATTCTTCCTCCAAATAAGTTAACTGACAGCTTTCTATACCAACATCTTTTATATAAGACTGTGATCTGAGGTGGGGTGGGAGAGGGCTATCTGTCAATTCCAGATTTGTTTTATTTATCTATCACGTCTATCAGTTTATAAGCTTACTAACCATTCAGGCGGTCCGTCTACCTTCCATGTCCAGTGTTAATACAAGAAAAAAACCCAACCAACTTAACCTAATAGAAAAAATCACTGGAATTTTTTTTGTTTTTACTTTTCCCTGACAATATTGTGACTTCTGTAGCTCTTTTCTCTGCGACACTATTTCTGTTCACCCCGGGCCCCTGTTATTTCCCTAAGACACTGGATAATCCTTCCCGTTTCAGGCAACACAACAGGTGAAGATGAGGTGATTTTTTGCTGAGGCTGTGAGTATACAACCACTACCGTCTGTGAACGTAAATACTAAACTTTTAACTGTTAAGTACTTGCAGCTTTTTACACGTTTATCATTCGTTCATCCATTATTTGTGGTAATTTTATCATTTATAGCTTAAGTATACCCACCTTCAGATATACACTTCCACCCTTAAATTTATGCTGGTTAGAAATAAAACTATCAGTGATTCTACAGCAGGTGTGTACAGGAGTCCATGTAAGGAATCCTGGCGGTGAATGTGTTTCCTAAAGGGCCGGTTCTAATACTAAAATATGGTATTTAATGTAATATATCACATAATTATCATGTTATTGTATTTTAATCCGTATGTGCATTTGTGTTGACATAGTTGGTTGTGACATGTGAGCAATTGCCTCGCCACTACCAGTCTCGCTTACATGCATAAATCATCTACTGGAAAACTAAGATATTGACTTTGGCATATCTAGAATGAGAGAACACCAGAACATCAAAGAAATATTACATGCACTGAAGTTTTTGGTGGCCAGACATAGTTGTGAGTCGCCGATCAGCTGAGCGAATCGTCCTAACTGGTGACGTCAAGACAGTTTAAACCCCCAGCACAGGACAGGACACTTTAAACCCCCAGCACAGGACAGGACACTTTAAACCCCCAGCACAGGACAGGACACTTTAAACCCCCAGCACAGCACAGGACAGGACACTTTAAACCCCAGCAGGACACTTTAAACCCCAGCACAGGACAGGACACTTTAAACCCCAGCACAGGACAGGACACTTTAAACCCCAGCACAGGACAAGACACTTTAAACCCACAGCACAGGACACTTTAAACCCCCAGCACAGCACAGGACACTTTAAACCCCCAGCACAGGACAGGACACTTTAAACCCCAGCACAGCACAGGACACTTTAAACCCCCACAGCACAGACACTTTAAACCCCACAGGACACTTTAGCACAGCACAGGACACTTTAAACCCCCAGCACAGGACAGGACACTTTAAACCCCCAGCACAGCACAGGACACTTTAAACCCACAGCACAGGACACTTTAAACCCCAGCACAGCACAAGACACTTTAAACCCCCAGCACAGCACAGGACACTTTAAACCCCCAGCACAGCACAGGACACTTTAAACCCCCAGCACAGCACAGGACACTTTAAACCCCCAGCACAGCACAGGACACTTTAAACCCCCAGCACAGGACAGGACACTTTAAACCCCCAGCACAGCAAACAACCAAAAAGCGTTTGGGTGGCTAAACTTAAGGTGAAATCAGCTGGGATGGAAACCAGGTAAGTCTTCAATAAACTACCTTAATTACCTTCAATAAACTTCTATAAATACTCCTTAAACTTCATAAATATTGCTCCATGTTTTCGCCCTTTAAAATTAAATGCTAGCATGATTTCAACTCGACACTTTTACAGTATGTGCAAAGTATCACCAAGTTCATCAAACTATCAATTAATTCTCTTATATATTAAAATAAGAATATGCATCACTATAATAAATATATATGCTTTAAGTTCATACATATACCTATAGTATAAATCACACCACGAAGTAATGCTTACTTTAAATATGACGAGACGAGTGTGAAGACCGGCAGTGTTCCAGCCTGGGGTCAGGGGTGATATAGCTCGACATCCACCAAAACACCGAATTGGGAAAGTGAACCAATTATTTCCAACTTCTATCGTACATACAAATTTTTATTACAAATTAAGGATACATTTAGTTATTCAGTAACATGAAAATAATACAAAAAAACAAGTAACAATATCTACAAAATAAATATATACACTAATACTGTACTTTAAATTCGTCAGCTTTTCTACTAAAACATGGCTGCCAACATTACTGAACTCAATTATATCATAAAAAATACGTAAATTTGTATAATATCACATTTATTTCTATTAAAGAATAATGACACTTTTCAAATCAATCAAATACATCACTCAGAAAACCTCACCTGGAAAATTATAGACGTATTACTTCCCTAACTACAATAATGTGGTAATTGTCCTAGTCACGGTTGTTACCACTGATTCAGTAATAGATAGAAAGTGAATGTTTTAAACGTATTATTTCTTGGTTACGATATTTAAAAGACTTAAGTTAATCTAGTATATCCTCCTCCCGACCCGTCCATTAGACAGATGAACTGTTCTTGGGGTTTGATGCTAATTATATTCTGTAATTTTCTGAGGGACTTATTCTCATGATATTTATCAACATGTACCAGTAGAGTATACAATGTAGTACTTTTTAAATCACTCCTTGGGTAACTGAGGTGCCGTAGTGCAGGCAACAGTCTGGTGGCCCTCCTATGAACGTTTTCAATCAACTGAGTCTCTAGCATATCTTGGGGTCTGTTGATGTACCTGTACTGTCTACGTACACTGTTGATGTACCTGTACTGTCTGTGTACATTGTTGATGTATCTATACTGTTTATGTACACTATTGGTGTACCTGTACTGTCTCTGTACACTGTTGATGTACCTGTACCGTCTGTGTACATTGTTGATGTACCTGTACTGTCTACGTACACTGTTGATGTACCTGTACTGTCTGTGTACATTGTTGATGTATCTATACTGTTTATGTACACTGTTGATGTACCTGTACCGTCTGTGTACATTGTTGATGTACCTGTACTGTCTCTGTACACTGTTGATGTACCTGTACTGTCTCTGTACACTGTTGATGTACCTGTATTGTCTGTGTACACTGTTGATGTACCTGTGCTGTATGTACACTGTTGATGTACCTGTACCGTATATTTACACTGATGTACTTGTACTGTGTCTCGTACACTGTTGATGTGCCTGTACTGTCTATGTACACTGTTGATGTGCCTGTACTGTCTCGTGCACTGTTGATGTACCTGTACTGTCTCTGTACACTATTGGTGTACCTGTACTGTCTCGTACACTGTTGATGTACCTGTGCTGTCTCATTACACTGTTGATGTACCTTTGTCTCGTACACTGTTGATGTACCTGTACTGTCTCGTACACTGTTGATGTGCCTGTATCTCACGTACACTGTTGATATGCCTGTACTGTCTACATGCACTGTTGATGTACCTGTACTGTCTCATTACACTGTTGATGTACCTGTACTGTCTGTACATTGTTGATGTCACCTGTCTCTGTACACTATTGGTGTACCTATGCTATCTCGTGCACACTGTTGATGTACCTGTACTGTCTCATTACACTGTTGATGTACCTGTACTGTCTCGTACACTGTTGATGTACCTGTACTGTCTCGTACACTGTTGATATTACCTGTACTGTCTGTACATTGTTGATGTATCTATACTGTTTTATGTACACTATTGGTGTACCTGTACTATCTCGTACACTGTTGATATTACCTGTACTGTCTGTGTGCATTGCTGATGTATCTATACTGTTTATGTACACTGTTGATGTACCTGTACTGTCTGTGTACATTGTTGATGTCTGTACTGTCTCTATACACTATTAAGGGTATTGCCTGTACTGTCTCGTGCACTGTTGATGTGCCTGTACTGTCTCGTACACTGTTGATGTACCTGTACTGTCTGTGTACATTGCTGATGTATCTATACTGTTTATGTACACTGTTGATGTACCTGTACTGTCTGTGTACATTGTTGATGTACATACTGTCTCTGTACACTAATGGTGTACCTGTACTGTCCATACACTGTTGATGTACCTGTACATGTCTCGTGCACTGTTGATGTACCTGTACTGTCTACGTACACTGTTGATGTACCTGTACTGTCTGTGTACATTGTTGATGTATCTATACTGTTTATGTACACTATTGGTGTACCTGTACTGTCTCTGTACACTGTTGATGTACCTGTACCGTCTGTGTACATTGTTGATGTACCTGTACTGTCTACGTACACTGTTGATGTACCTGTACTGTCTGTGTACATTGTTGATGTATCTATACTGTTTATGTACACTGTTGATGTACCTGTACCGTCTGTGTACATTGTTGATGTACCTGTACTGTCTCTGTACACTGTTGATGTACCTGTACTGTCTCTGTACACTGTTGATGTACCTGTATTGTCTGTGTACACTGTTGATGTACCTGTGCTGTATGTACACTGTTGATGTACCTGTACCGTATATTTACACTGATGTACTTGTACTGTGTGTAAACTCTTGATGTACCTGCACTGTATGTACACAGTGATGTACCTGTACCATATATGTACACTGTTGATGTACGTGTTACTGTCTATATACACTGCTGGTGCATCTGTACTGTCTATGTACACTGCTGGTGCATCTGTACTGTCTATGTACACTGCTGGTGCATCTGTACTGTGTATGTACACTGCTGGTGCATCTGTACTGTGTATGTTCACTGCTGGTGCATCTGTACTGTATGTACACTGCTGGTGCATCTGTACTGTGTATGTACACTGCTGGTGCATCTGTACTATGTACACTGCTGGTACATCTGTACCGTCTATGTACACGGTTGGTATACCTGTACCGTCTATGTTTCACTGGGCCTTCATCCTTCTGCACTCCACCTTAGTGATCCATCTCATGAAACTGAGATTTCTTCTTAGCTTGTCATGTGTCATTGGTTCATATATAAAGGTTTCCTATTTGTTTTGGATCGAGAGGGCTTGGTCTTGGGTATGATTTTCCTTAAATGGTTTAGTTTACCCTGCTTGATTTGCAAGGAATACAGTACTGTATCTTAAATTTCTTTAGTTTAATAAATCACAATTTGGATATCTCTAAATGTATTCAACCATTTTAATTCTTCAAAAACAGCTTCCCCTGCACCTTACTGGCTCAGAGATCTTGTCTAGTACAGTATAAATAACCAGACCCTTCTTACATATTGCCTCAGAGAAATTTGCAAATGAGTCACAGCAAATGCCTGAGGGGCCACTGGTTGTGAAGGAAGAATGAGCGTACAGAGGCAGGATTCTCCGTACATGTACTGTTGTAGGTCTCTAACATGTCTAGTGCCAGGCCTGTCTCTAGGTGGAGTAATATTTAGTCAGGAAAAGATGACAACATAATTATAAAAAAATATAATTACTCATCAGTCACAAACAAAACAGAATGCAAACAAGCAATTTTTGGAGTTACAGCAGCAGTGACATAAATAAAAAAACTTAGATAAGTCTAGCAGTAGCTAAAACCTTTTACAATAAATATTCTTGATATCATTATGACTTCACAGTATCAGTGCTACATGTTTGTTCATAGCATTTTGCTTTTCCAGTTCTATGGGCTTAAAAATACCAGAAGTATACAATATTCCTGTTGTGTGGCCAAGGGTTAAAAGCCTGTGCATTGTTAAGCTGTGCCATAATACAGTAATGTATTTATTAAAACAAACATGGGTTCACACCACTGGAGCAGTTACTCTCAAATTCAGTACAGGTATTCACATTTCTTCTCCTTTAAAGTAACACAACATTCCACTACTGTACAGGAGTCAAAATCTATTGTGGACAATATTAAAGCTGTGAATAGTATACTAGGTGACACAGTATGCATGAGTCCCATGTGAAGTCAACAAACCCCACTTTGGGGTAGTAGCTAATGATGAATAAAAATTTTATATAATATAGTCCATGATAAAGACTAGTAAAAGGATATTTTACCTCTCATAATCAACAGTGTGTCAATAGACATAAAAATCAAACATAAATCTATTTTTTATTTGAGCTATACCTTCACTTTGTAAAGTGAAATGATTCGTTTTCACCTCATAACCTACATCACTGAAACACTCTTGTTGAAAATATATTCTACATTATTACAGAACAGTATATATCATCATACAAGAAATACACAACACTAATAACAATCTTATCTACAACACCTCACCTCACTTCCCTGACGGGCCTGGAGGGAAAGGTCTGCATCCTCCTGTAAGAATACTGATGCTTATCTTCTTTTCAACATACCTGTATGTAACTTTCCAGATACAAACTACATATAATAAAAAATACTGCAGTACTAACAATAATACAGAGTATTCATTACAAGAGAGTGAATCGAATGTTTTCATACATACCAGTTTCATACATACAGTACTGTACCAGTAAACTAAGGCAAATTGTATGGAATGCTTGTCTAATACGGTAAAACCTCACTAATCCGGAACCCATCAATCCAAACTTGGATTAATTCCGAATGGATCTGACCAGTAGCGTCAACTAGCGGTGTGGAGGACTAAGTAAGAGTCTTAAAAACTTACGGTATTTTTTTTTCTATCTTTTAGCGCCCTATAAAGTATTCACAATGGGTTCAAGGACAGAAAAGAGAGAAAAGAAAAGGAAATTTGTGTCCTTAATTGTTGCAGAAAAGTTCAAAATAATAGAGAAATGTTTAAGTGATGTAGCTGGACCCCTCTTCCTCCCTCCCCACTCCTCCCTATTTGGTCCAGGCTGGTGTAACCTCATTGTTGTTCTATTACCTGAGTTGTCACTGCTGAATTCAGATAGAAATTAAGTACAAAAACTTTACCAAGCAGAGAGAATAATACAAAGACAGTGCATGTGTGTGTACTGTTAAATGAAAACTATGAAAATCATAAACTAACACAGCTTTTTTTAAACCATCTCCCCCATCACTCCTCAAAGAGACACAAATAAATGCCTGGCTCCATTACAAGCTTAAGTACAGATGCCTATAACAAATCAGTATCACAAGAGGCATTATATTTTACCCTAAGTAATGAAAATATACAAAACTAGACCTTAGACCTCACAATCAGCCATTCTATATATCAACTAGACCTTACAATCAGCCATTATATGTATCAACTAGACCTTACAATCAGCCATTATATGTATCAACTAACCTTACAATCAACCATTCTATGTATCAACTAGACCTTACAATGTCATTCTATGTATCAACTAGACCTTACAAGCAGCCATTCTACGTATCAACTAAACTTCACAATCAGCCGCTCTACGTATCAACAAGACCTCACAATCAGCCATTCTATATATCAATCTATCAACTTACGTATCAACAAAACCTCACAATCAGCCATTCTATATATCAATCTATCAACTACATTCCTCTCCCACTTCAGATATCTAGTAAGGTTATAACTGGAAATATCATGAAAGGAGTAACAGTATGGATGGGGAGGGTGGAGGGGGGGGGGACATAAATCAGGACAATACAATACCCAAGTGAATACAATGTTGACAGAGTGGATGGAATTTATGAGGTAAGGTATGGAGGAAGTACTGTATACATGTATATTTTTCTATGTGTATATGTATGTGTGTGGATAATATGAATAAACACATACAGTAATATCATGAATACAAGTCTATTTAGGCAATTATTTTAGAGATGCCACAGCCATACACTTGCTTAATGCTAAATTACGAGCCTTGTTAAAAACGTACAAAAGTTATACAGACGTCTTAAAATCAAGTGATATGGGCCCCTTCTCCAACATACAGACTTAAAAACATCTTTAATTTTCCTATCAACCTAGTAAAGGGCAGTTTAATAAATATTTAACTGGCCTCAAGAGTGTCATCAGCTTTTAGTCATTAAACACAGGGATTATGAAACTTGGCTCCAAACCCAACCATAGCATTTGTTTTTACAGATTTTTTTCTGCTTGACATTTGATTAATACAATATCTTCTTGTTTTGTTTTTTACAGTAAATGATTCATATCTTTCCTTATCTGTCTACAAGATACTACATCAGGAGTGTTTAAATACATACACAGATATGGCCCTAATATTAACCTCCTCTTTACCACAAACCTGGAACTATGGTACTATTGTAATTGGGATTTATTCGGTGAGGTGAGCAGCATAGTACCTGAGTTTTCGTTGATGGTGAAGATGATGTTAATGTACAGAATATACTTATAACTTAAAAATATTCTCCTTTAAAATGTGACAGCTAATAGGAGAGGGGTATGACGTGTTCCTGCACCAATTCCCAAAGTTATGAAATTCATGATAACGAGTTAAAATGTTAAACAATGAAGGAGAACAACAATAATAAAATGGCAGAAACATCCACACAAACAGATAGGATTAAAAAGTGTACATAGAGAAACAGTAACACATACACACACCCTCATACACACAGCATTAAAAAAAAAAGCATAGGGTGCACAAGTTCAGAAACAGCCACTCAATACACACATTTACAGTATTTTCAAGTACTGTACTGTACATATTGTACTTACACAATAACACACACACACACACACACACACACACACACACACACACACACACACACACACAACATGCACACAGGTAAATGTACATATATAAACATTTACAATTTAAATAAAAGTAAAATAATGTAAATGTACTGTACATTGAAATAAAAAAAATCCCAAATTAAACACAAACAATATCCTGTATATGTTTACATTAACAACAAAGTTCTCTGCATAGTATTATGAAGTAAAGTTTTATGACAATTTCAAAGTTTTACGTTGCCCCTTTTATTCCCTACACCCTGCGGGGTGGTGAGGCCCAGGCGACTGCACTGGCTCGCCCCACAGCACTGGCATGGCTGGTGAGCAGATCAGCACATACCACAGCAAGATAACGCCCCAACAAACCCACGTCTAACGAGCTGAAAGGCCAGAATGTTACTAATTGAACCGTGGAACTTAACTATGATATTAATAGGACAAGTTAACGAGAATGTACAGATAACAAATCTAAGTTAAAAAAGTAAAAAAAAAAAAAAGGAGCAATATTCGGGGTTTCATTAAAACCAATAAATGATGACCTTGACAAGAAGTAAGTACATACAACAACATAAATATTAAGACAAACCATTTCACACACAAACAGCCTGAGAGTTGCCAAGACTCCCCTTCCCCATAAGACAAAGTCACCTCTTTTTATCAATCTTTACAACTGGTTTTCCTGAGTTATAATTCAATCAATCAATCAGAGTACCATCCTCATATCAGATGGCCACCAAATCTAGAGGAGGCCATGATGGGAGTAAGAAGCCACACTAATCTGTCAGTACACATAAATTTATCAACTATATCTATTATCTTTACTAGTCTTCCACCTGTGTGTGAAGTGCATCAAGAAGAGGACAAATCTCTGAATAAGAAGAATAAAATGAAAGATGAGACGAAAGATGAGACAGTGCACGATCAATGTAGAAAGATGAGAAAAGCTCAAGACAAGTAGTACGTATTATCCACACATCCTTACTCTGGATACACAGTATACAAGTGTGTATATCGTCTATACAATGATTCTTATAAATTCACCGAGTTGAGTCGTCATCAGGCACATAATCTTACTGGTATAAAGCTGTAAAACCTCCATTATGTTCATAGTTAAAGTTTTCACCTATGAACTGGAGATACAGTATACACTATGTCTTCTTCAATATCTAAAGAGAAGAAGTACTGCTTGAAATATTTCCAAACATCTACTAGTTATAATATAAACATTATACACTGTATTTTTATTCTTCCTTATAAATTTAAGCAATTTACTTATTTCTTCTATTGAGTATCAGGTATTACAAGCAGCCACCAGGCAGAGATTTAACAGATGAAATACTGTAGTACAGTACTGTACTAGTTACACAAGCCGCACGTACACTACCGACCTCTACATGATTAGAAGGGCGACACGTGGCAAGAACAGAGCCGTGAGGAGAGAGCTGATAAGGTTCACGGCGTGATTGTCCAGAATGTTGGAGCCACAGATAGGGATCACACCTTCACCGGGCCGTTCTACGATTTTTCCTTCAGAATCGATTCCTGAAAAATATCAAAATTATTATTAAATAGAGGCAATCCCACGGCAATTACAGGCATCCCCCGGGTTACGGAAGGTATGTGTCCTTGAAAATTTGTCCTAAACGTGAAATTCCATAACACGAGACCAATTTTCCCATTGACTTCCATTATATAATTGGAGATACATTCTCAAGGAAATATTTTGGGCAAAAAGACGTAATACATTCACATTTATGAATGAAAAAAATATTTTAACACATACAGTACATTGATTATTTTATGATATAATATGATAATAAATATACAAAACACTTGAATTTAACTTACCACAAATGATGTTGAGTACTGCATTAGGCGAGGTGGTGAGGTTAGGTGGTGCAATCGGAGTTACTGGGAGGGAGACGGAGGGGCACTACTGACTCCTGATTCGCCCTGTACAGTATTGTACCAACCACCAAGAAATCCACACGAAATAAATTTTATAATTTGTGAATTTTTTTCTAATAGTATTGAAAAAAATATTATAATAAAATAAAAAACTTAAAAATTTACCCAATTTCCGTAAGGGCAAATTTTTTGTCCGTATCCCGAATTTATTGGTCGTAATTTACGAAATTTCTAAGAGCGAATTTCCGTAACCAGAGTTTCCATAACCCGGGGGATGCCTATAGTGTTAGTTTGGCTCAGGACACCAGATCATCACACACCATAGGAGGATGGTATCACTCCACCAACTTGCCTAGGTCATGGGATAGAAACCATATCACAAGCGTTTCATTATCAAGTTCCTTCAATTAGACCACTCACCTGAGAACTGCACGGTGGCTCCTAACACCGAGTCAATCACACTACCCATCAGTCCCCCGATGGCTCCCACAAAAATAATCGGCCACTGTGGGGGTGCAGAGATCATGATGGAGTTGGACACGCACATCAGAAGGGTAAAATAATGTCCCAGTCCCACCACAAATCCTCCCATGAGACTTACAACCAGACCCACAAGGCTGATGCCACCATTTGTACCTGTGGAAGAAAGCAAAGTACGGTACAGTAAACATCTTTATGAAACTATAATACTCATTGCAATATTTATTTAGATCTAATTCATCAAGCCAAAAATCCTGTCATCAGTGTATAAAATATCTGCTTCAGGAATAATAAGTACTATGGAAAACACATGCGAAAATCTTATTCTATGCTAACCTGCGCACACATCAATGTACCATAATTATGTACAGACCGCCACTCACCCAGTAACATACCTCGTGGGACGGACTGGAGGGAGGTAATGAGGACAGGATCTCCAATGCTTAATACTGTTCCAATCTCAGAGGCCCAAGTGTCCCCATTGCAGCACGACAAAGCTCCTGAGTGTTAAAAAAAAAAAATCAGTATATTTATTTGTTGATGCATTGACTCAAATTGTGCACCTCAAAATGATTTAGTTTAGCCAAATCTCATATTTTAAATCAACCATGAATATATACACTTCTTTTGCCACTACAGGTCTCCCTCAGAAACTACTGCTGTACTTTTATTTTATTTTCCACTCAGACACTATCTTAAGTCATCTATCCAAATGTATATACTTGTAGTCCTAAAGAAGAACTGTATTTCTCTCTAAATCTACCAAAACAGAGCCATGATCACAGCCCAAACAGCTCTTACATAAATCTATATAGTACTGTACTATTTTTAGCAAGGATCTCCTAGGTGGTAAAGTGTAAGCAAGGAGTGAACAATTCAACACTAATATGCAGTTTACAGACTTGACAACATATATACTGAGTTCTGTTGTTGACATGTGCAATTTAGACTTTATTTCACCGGGCCTGGATCCATGCAGCTAATTATGAAATACATGGTCTCATTCTTACACAGATAATAGTAACTTGCCTAAAACTGCTAAGTTGAGCCAGGAACAGCGGTAGTTGTAGATCATGTCGATGGGGTGTTCTCCACAGCCACAGTCCATCATGTAAAACAGCGCCAACAGACTCGCTACTCCGCCGTTACACACTACCTGTACCCAATTGCGTTCACCACCTGAAAATAAATGACGATGTATGATAAATTCCTTTTTATAACCACAATCTGTAGTTAGTTTTGAATCCACAGGTCCCAAATACTTCCTGGGAACTGATGTACTTTACCTGTGTAAGTCATTTTATCTGTCATTTTATGGATTTCATTAAAACGGCACACAGGAATAATCTTTGTTCTAATCTTCAATACTTTTCTCAGCATTTGAACAATAATTGACCTTAAATAATGCCCGATACCAATGGCCATGGATCAAAAACAATCTACATTTTTTTCCCTTAACCCCTTGTGTATGGGGTCCCTCCTGTGCTGAATAAAATCATCTGGCATTAACGAAATAAAATATCAAAAGTGGGATCACTGTAGTCAAGTCAAGTCAAGTCAAGTCAAGTCAAGTCGAGTCGAGTCAAGGTAAGGTAAGGTAAGGCAAAAAAAAAAAAAAAATCAGACAAGTTCCTCACCTTCCTTAAAATTTTCCTCCAATTTTCTCTTCTTGCTGGACAGGAACTTGGTGGCTTTAGACGATGAGATGAAAAACACCAAGAGATTAGCAAAGAAGACATAGCTTCCCAATGTGAGCAGGAACCCAACAGCCAGACCTGGAAGTAAAGTAAATAAATTACTGTATAATGAGGCCCAGAATTTCCACTACATCATTCAAGTGCAGTACTGGCCACACTGCCTCCTTGTACACCAGAGGCTTAGTATGTACTGCGTTATATCCACACTAAACCAAACAGTTAGTCCTGCACTATTTTCCCAACATGAAATATTTACAAATGGTAGTAATAAGTAAACTAAACATATAAGTCATCATTCCTAAATATACTCATAAATGACTCGTCAACTGGCAAATACCATATTATAAACTGGATTACAGATAATAACTTCACACCATGAAAGAATCATCTGCCCACTTAAAAGAAAATGAATCCTGTCTGAAATAAAAGCTTACTGTCATATTTGTTTGTAAATTTGCTAATCACAGTAAAAAATCCTCGACCTACTAAAGCTACCAATCTTAAGTTCATCTTGTTACCAAATATCCCCCCCCACCCCAAAAAAAAAATGCTACGTAGTACAGTACCATGACTTGAAGGTGTGGAGAAGTGAACCCCTATTCTATTTAAGGAAACACCACACACACACATATACAGTACTGTAAGTCAACTCTACATCACACTTCTGCCCTGCCCTGTACTGTATATAATAGTACAGTATGTTGGATATAAATATTGTATCTTTGTTATTGGGTAAAGAAATAAGCATCTGATGGTTTTGTTACCTGTCCTCATTAAATTGGCTTACTGTTTACTACTGTTGTGTACTTGCACTGTTTTGGTACATATTTCACTTACAGGACGGGGGTCCCCGGGTTACGAAAATGTTTCGTTCCTGAGGAGGTTCTTAAGTCAGAAATGTACGTAAGCAGAACACATGCTTTGTGCATACCCTACTTACAGAACAATATTTGAAATCCCACTATATCATAGCGAAAGTCCTTACAGTATATACAACTAAAAATCACTTAATTTAAGACAAAAGAAATAGAATGACAAAATACAGTAAATTAAAGTAAAAAAATAAGCTATCAGATAAATAAAATATTGGAGTGTATATTTAAAGTTTAACCCCATTCGTATCGGCGGGCATTTATAAGTCAGACGTTCGTAAGTCCCCCTGTACCCGAAAGTCTTCCACAAATGACTTTCTTAACAAGTAAATAAATCATGTTTTCTGGGCACACCTTGAGTAGGTCTTAAGAGTACTGTACTTACCAGACACAGCACCACTGAAAGAGAGTGAACGACCTTGAAGACCTCTCCAGGCAATGAGAATGGGCAGCAATGTCGCACTTAGCCAACGACTGGGTTCTATCACCTCAACTGGAAAACACATAAGAGTCCTACTATTATTAATTCATAACAAACCTTACTGTCAGCAGACATACACAAATATTTACATAATAAAAATATACAGATTATTCTTCAAATTACCAAAAAATGTATCCTTATAAACATGCAAAACAAATATCACAGTGCAAGTGATCTGGGAGACCTGTAGGGGGTGTAGCACAAATGGCTCGCATGTGGGATTACCAGATGCATAATGGTCACGTGAATCAACTTTACCCATGTGCAGTGATCATGATTCGACAGATCTGCTACTGATGTACCCAAGGCTCTTGTTCTTCAGTAACTCCTTCACACTACCAACACCTCAATAAGACTCTCAAGTGCCTTTGTCATTGTGGAAAATGCACGTTTTTCATCATTAGTGGCAGTCTTTTTTTTTTTTTTTACGGGTATTGCCCCACCCGGACACAGGTCACCGACCCACATCAGGGCCCGGGGGGCGAAAACGTAATAACAATAACAATAACAATAACAATAACAATAACAATAATAATAATAATAATAATAATAATAATAATAATAATAATAATAATAATAATAATAATAATAATAATAATAATAATAATTCAGATACTGTACTAAGTAAAATTTATAATAAAAAATACAAAATTAAAAATAAAATAATAATGATAATAATAATACTGAAAACGCTGTAATAATAATAATAATAATAATAATAATAATAATAATAATAATACTAATACTAATAATAATAATAATAATAATAATAATAAGGAACCATAAAGAAATTAAAAAAAAAGATTATTGAGAAACGATATACTGTATGTATGTTGTGCTGTCAATAGCAAGAGAAACAATTGAGACCCCGCAAGTGTGTAAATGAGGCAGAATGTCAGATCAGTAACCTGGGACTTGGTCCCCGCTACCCCCAGCTCTGCCCCACTTGCAGTTCATCTAAGTTTTTTGTTTTTTGTTGGAACATATCTCAGCTTTTATAATAGAAGTCTATGAGAAAATGTGCTTCAATTTACAAAAAGGTTTACAGGAAAGGAACTCTTTTGTAAATCAAGGTCTGCCTGTATTGTAGAGGTAGAGTACACCCTAAGTCAGGGGTGGGCAAAGTATGGCCCGCGGGCCAAATTTGGCCCGCCAAATTATTTCTGTGGCTCGCCACTGCATTTGTATTTACAAATACAAGGCTTTACTTTGTGTTAATATAATACATTTGCATCTACATTAAGTGTGTGGCCCGCGAAGTGTGCCACCATTCATGAAGTGACCCCTCCATCAAAAATAATTGCCCACCCCTGCCCTAAGTAGTCACCAACCATGACAGGTGAAGTAAACATGACAGGTGGAACAGGGAAGGTCTGCTTTAATTGCTAGCAACAGAGTTAATGATGGCATCACGATGAAGTAACCTTGAAAAAGTGCATCAGGGTTAACTGCATCACTTTCAACACTTCAGTCAGTAAATTTCTCAGTAAGCTGCAACATCCTCGTTAATCGTCTCATCCATAAACTCCACTCCAGGTTCTTACCCCATGACCACTGCCAGTTACATCATCTGATCATACAGCCCAAGGCACTTACACAGGTTCTGTACTGTACTGCGAGATTTGTTTAAGTCTTTATAGCTGTACTGTATGTTGTTCATATTTCTCTGACAATGATTTTTATGGCCCAATATAATGGAGATCAGTTTACTACATTTTATATTTTGGTCAACCTAGCCTGTATCTTACAGTTGTTCTGAAATTCCACCTTATGTTGTCAAAACTGTATCTAATTTACTATATCAACAGTGAACATTAATAGCACTGTATAGTATTTGCTTTTGGTATTATATTAGGTGATAACAGGGACTGTCAGCTCCACCTTTACCAACTAAACATCTAAACACCATGCAGTAGTCAGACCAGATGAGCTGCGCTTTAATATATCTTATCGTTATTTGTTGAACCTTTTATAAATAACTATACATATGTTTCCTACTTTTAACTTCCACTGACTGACTCTTGTAGTCTCCAAACACGATGATGCAGCACACTCTCGCAAAGTCAAACTACAGGGTATATTAAACATGATTTTTTCAACATTCAGAAGCTAATACCTAAGAGATTAAATGCGTAGCAGCTTCTTGCATGGCCAGATAGGTAAATCTGTCACATGTGAACCAATATATATATATATATTTTTTTTTTTTTTTATAAAATGTATGTACTGTATATGAAGGCAGTTACTATCATATACACTGGGTAACTCAGCATTTGCATTTCATTCTTATTTCTTGGGACTTTTCAGTATGGTGGTAATTGCGCAAAACTGCCACACTGTATAATACTTCACAAAGATACAGCATGTCTTTAGAGAATTTCTGGTATTCAAGAAAAGTAAATCAGTAACATACGAATTTAGAATTACAAAGACCAGCATTTGCAAGGGACAACTGTAATTATCAACAATTCATATATTATACAGTACTGTACTGTATTAGTGACCTGACTACTGCATTAAGGAAATATATTACAGATTTAGTGTCAATATCTATGAAATACCTATAGTCCTAGAGTGATTAAGGGTAAGTAAGGGCCCTAATATCTGACATACAATATTTTAATGTGAAAATGATCAAACAAATTCAAATTAGTTGTTTCTGTCATATACGTAAAGATTATCCAATACAAACTAATCTTTAATAACATACCCCTTAAAGTAGACATTATAAAACAGCACGGATGTTCCTCTGCTCTTATCAGTGACAGGCTAAAGCAATAAAGCAGATTATTGCCTATCAGCTCAACACGTTTAAAATGGAGAGCGGGCAGTGGCGGGAATGTGAAGTACACCAAGTGACCGCAACAAAGACTTCATTAAACCTCATTAAACCTCAAGATATATGTCAACTAATATTAACAACTCGGACAGATTCACAGTATTAGGGAATCTTAAGCTGTCCTATATCTTATAATAAGTCCATATCAGTATATATGTGCCGTAATGATAAAAATATTACCTCCTGGTACTGTCATAATACTTTCCACTTCAACACTACCGTATATTACCGAATTATAATACAAGGAGGAATATTATGAGACTTAAACTTACATTCAACCAAGTCCACATTCTAGAAATTTATAAACGGTGGTTAGAGCTCAAATATAAAGTATATATCCATACTTACATACCACCTTGAGCCAACACCCCCACATAACACCTGCGACATCACCCCCCTACACATATTTGCCACTTACCTCCAATGGTTGTGGACAAAAAGGCATTTGAGACCCATAATATCATGGATATTGGCAACGTCAATAATAGCAGAAGTAAGAATCCACGCCGCATTTTGACTTGTGAAGGAAAAAGTATCAGGAACTACCCACACCCGCCTCCTACTCGGATTTGTGTTAGACTGAGGCGTGTGAGTTGACAGAGTTGAGTCGAGGACGAGGTCGTAACTTAATGCTGTCATCCCCCCGCCACCCCGAGTCTCATCTTCACCAGCTGGGGAGGAGAACGTGCCCACGAGCAATGATAACTACTCAAAAATAATATAACTATTTTCTTTTTTGTGTTGTGGATATATATAAAAAAATTGACTGTTATAAGTAATGCCTTTTAGAGCCGCAAATACATTTATTAATCAGTTCCCAGATAGATCTATCAGCACATATATCTATTCCAGTCCGTGTTTATTTCCTGTCAATTTCATTTCTTTTTCACAACGGTCCTCATATAATTTACTACAACGCCCTTAAAAAAATAACTAAAATAAATAAATATTGAAGTGATAACCGTGGTAACGTTCCGAGATGTTCTTATTACCACCATGCTACGTGTACTATTCCAGATGATACTAATGTTACATAATACTCCCTTGAGATAAATGTACAGTATATATCAGGTGCCTACAGGAGAGCTCAGGTTCTCAACTGGCTCAGCCATGTAAATATTGTTATTATCCACTCTGTATCTGTTTTTCTGGCTAAATAAACTGTCAATTTAATTCAACTCAATTCAATTCCTTCCCTGCCTCCCTACTGCGCCCTAGGTGCAACACTAGATATTATGGACCCAGGTGTCATGAACGTGAGTCATGTGACTCTGCCAACTTATATTTTCCCGAGTTTTACACAAATTTGTTATATTATTTTTTGGCGATATGTCAACTCGGCAAACTGCTGGATTTCCAAGACGAATTTTTTACCTAAAGAAATCTTTTTTTTTTTTACTTCTCTCGCATCACGTACTGTACAAGTTAATTTTCCCCCGTTTTACCTACGGCAAGAATCAATTAGTAAACAGGGTAATTGTAAGGCAATTTAATGGATTTCACAGGCACAATCTCAATTATTCAGATACTTTTGGAGTAACATCACGTGCATCAGCCTTTTTATTTTATTTTTATCTTCACTACTAATTGGCTCGTTAGCAAGTACTGGCTCTTAAATGTGTCTGAACCTGCTCCAGTGCTCGTCAAGTCTGACCATGAAAGAGCTTATATTCGGTGCCGTCACAACTCTCTTTAGTAACTTAAAAGCAAGTTTAAAATAACGAACGTGACGTAATCTTCCTCTGCCATCTTTAGCACACTGGCTGTAGGTGTAGCAGTATCCCGCCGGCCTTCATATCATACAGTATTTAGTTACTCAGATTAGACATTTAGCTCTCATCACTCAATAATCTATTTGGAAAGTTTGTGTGGATCATCTCTCGTGAGCATGTTTGTTTTAGGGCATATTCGTGATACATAAACACACTCGCCATAAACAATTAAAAATTAAATTTGCACTAATATCTCTCGAGTGGATAGATAGATATAATTATCTCACCCTTAAAAAATGAAGGTAATATAATATCCGTACTGTACATTGAAATTTGTTGTGCGAGTTTCTTAATATCAAGTAAAGCATCGAGGCAGAAGTAATTTACGCAGTTAAGCTTCTTTCTGTAATCCCAGTCACGAAGACTCAGGATGCCATGATTGGTCATTTGAAAAATCGTTAAATTAATCTTAAACCAAATACTTATATTACAGCAACGAGGGATTAAATGATAGGTCATGACTACCCTTACATTAAGAATATTTCACACATTTCGGATCACTACAAACCGGTCCGACTAATTACCCAAATGTAGCCGCAATGAAGTCAAATAATGGTCATACATGAATAAATCGGGCTGTGAATCACTTCTTCATTATTATTTGGTATCAGTCACAAAAAATTGGTAAACTTAATTTAGTCTGAGTTGTGTGTTAGTTTAGGTTAGATTAGGTTAGGTTAGGTACATGCACTTGATCTATTAACTCAGATTAAATTAAGTTTACCAATTTTTTGTGACTTCGTGACACCAAATACTAGTCGAGGTTAGGTTAGGTTAGGTACATGCACTCGATCTATTAACTCAGATTAAATTAAGTTTACCAATTTTTTGTGACTTCGTGACACCAAATACCAGTCGAGAAGTGATTGGCAGTCCGATTTATTCATGTAGGACCATTATTTGACTTCATTGCGGCTACATTTGGGTAATTACTCGCTCCCTCTGTACATGCACGCGATCTATTAACTCAAATTAAATTACGTTTTCCATTTTTTTTTAACTTTGTAACACCAAATACTAGTCGAGAAGTGATTGGTAACCCGAATTATTCATGTAGGACCATTATTTGACTTCATTGCGGCTACATTTGGGTAATTAGTCGGACCCCTACAAACTTCTCATTGTGAAAATACATATACCCCTGTACTAGCGTAAAGCAAATATATACATTATGTCTGAATATAGTTAGTGATTCCAGCCCCACTTACCATTAGACAAGTTTGATAAATGACTGCTTACCGGGTAATTTTATCGTTCAATAGAAAATTAAGACAAGAACAGGCCTAATTAGCCAATGGCATATGCTGAGGCTACACCTTATGTAAATGATTAGTAAGCCGATATAAATTAATTACCAAAAATTTAACGTATAGCTGACCACATTTTTATACTACTTTCTCTTAGCCTGTGCTCGTGTTTGGCTGTGTGCACATTTGTGTGCTTGCTTGTGTATGTGTACTTGTGTGCATGTTTGCGGGTTTATTTGTTTTTACTTGTATTTCTGTGCATGATAATATAATCGTGTGGTTAATATTATAAACTTTGGGGGTGGTGTGTGGATGTGTAAAATATTACAAGTATATCTCATGATTCTCTTTCTATTAGCATTTCTGTCCAATTAAATCAATAAACCAGAATGGATTTAATCGTGGGGTTGTGAGGTGACCTTTTTAACACCTGAAACTGGGGAGGGGAGGAAGAAGAGGTAGAGGAGGAGGAGGAGGAGGAAGTGGAGGAGGAGGAAAGACATGAAACTGACTAGAGGAAGGAGGAAGAGTAGTAGTAAAAGCAAAAATGTCTCTCTGTACAGTAAAGCTTTGGGGGGGGGAGGGGTATAAATTACACAAATGAACCCAATTCCTTCTTAAATACAGTATGTATGCTAGGTAATTAGTGTAGCTTCTTTTCACATCCATATCGGAAAAAAAGTTTAGTCCTATTCCATTGTTATTTATCATAATCCAGAGTAAAATTATTTTCTTTAGGAAGGTTATAATCCCCATAATGAAAGACACAGCAAGAGTGTTTAATGAATTATATTCATTTTCAACCCTATTTTATAAGAAAGCAAAGCTGCTTTATTTGGTACTAAACAACAGTGGGATCATTCAATAACCTGTATGAAAAAAGACTTCACTACTTAAAGTCAACCACACCATAAAAAAATCTAATAAATAACTAACACTTTGCAAAAATAGTTTGAAAACCCTACTTGGTCTATCAGTTTGTATATTTAACCCTTCCTACACACTGTCAGCGATACATGTCACTGTTTTATCACACAACACTCATTTACATTCCGGTGATATTACATTATCTAACACCACATAGCCTTTAATATTATTAACCTCGTGTCACATCTTACACACCAGGTCTAGCAATCATAAATTACAACCATTCACTTTTATATGTTGTTGGTTTAGCCATCCTGCTATGGTCTTATGACACAGCATATTAATATATACCTCTTCAACATAAGTATAAAACTCACAAGCCACCTCCCTAAATACCGGTACAGTGAACCCTCGAAGATCCGGACTAAAAGGGAGGACCACCTGTCCGGCAAAAGTCAATTGTCAGGATTTTCCGGCGAATAATAATTGATACCTGTATAAAAAACACCAAAAATATAGTACTAATGTAGTAATAAACAAATTAGCATATATTAACCATGCATTTATCTATGATAACATAATAAGAAACATTGTATCACTACTAGAGTGAATGAAATAATATTCCCACAAACAACAATTGTCAACTCTGTTTCCCACCTCCTCGGGCACCTGTGTCCAACCAACTGACAGGTCAAGCAGCACCCATGGGCCTAAAATGTTCTATGCTCTGGTTTGGGAATGCTTCTTAGGGAAACTTCTAGGCTTCTTAGCCCAGAACCCCCAAATTTTTTGTCCGGATCTTCCGAAATCCGGATTTCCCGGGTTCAGATCTTCGAGGGTTTACTGTATACAGACTACGAGTGAAAAACTATTAGTACTATAAAAAGAAAATTTTGAAAATCTTAACAACTTCACATTGATGACAACAAATATACACCACCATGAAAAACTGTATTATGTGTACCAGTACCTGCTGTTTATATACTATATCATGTGTTCTTGCTGCTCATAAACTATACTGTATCATGTGTTCTTGCTGCTCATAAACTATACTGTATCATGTGTTCTTGCTGCTCATAAACTATACTGTATCATGTGTTCTTGCTGCTCATAAACTATATAATATGTACTTGCTCATAATTTTCCTAGAGTACTCCATAAGCTGTCATCAAGCTACAATAGAAAGTGTCTCCTTACTTTATCTTATTAAGAGTAATTTCACATGATAAATTTAACGATGATGAGTATATTTAACCTGTTCATGAGTCTTGAGTGTTCTTCCTAAATAACTATAGCCTGACCTCCTCATAACTTGTATTTGATCATACAGGAAAACCTTAATGAAAAATTATATTATTCTTTACATAAAGTGCTTGTAACATATTTCATGCAATAGTGTATAATGTAACAATCACATGAGAGTGCTTCTGCTCAATAGCCAAGATATTTTTTTTAAGCATTCGAAAAAGCTATTTGTGTAAGCTCATGTCTCAATACATGTCAATCTGTATCATGTGCAATAAAGTTTTAGTTCTCATCACACTATAAAGTTCATGCAAGTTCAGTGACACAGTTCCATCAAAATACCTCGATCATTCCTACCACATTCCATCAAAGCTCATTTTCAAATAAGATTCATAATGCTTATAAATTTAAGTCAAAAGACAGACTCAAAAGACATCTGAACAATGCCAGACACATTCTAATTGCTGTATTGTAAATTTCATTGATTTATGCTGTGAAAAAACTGAATTTAGTCTCCATTCAAATAACTCTGCAACTTATCACACAAAAGTTGGGTGTTTTATGCAGGACCGTACCAAATAACTTTAGATAATGCAAATGCTTATTATTACCTCAAAATAGCACATATTTACCCAAGAGGTAGACAGTCAAGTTAAAAAAAAAAAAAAAAAAAAATTGCCTACATTGACCACTCACGAGACTAAGGCATGAACCATAACAGCTGAACACATGAAGCAAATACCATTCAGGACTTATTTAATGAAAATCATATTCAACCAAATAAATAGAAAACGTGAATAAATAAATAACAAATGAATAATAAAAAAAAGTGTAAAATCAGTAGCATTAGTATTATTGTACAAATAATGTGTTAGTACCAGACATAATTTTTTTCTGAAAAGACTAAATATCACATCAACACCCTCTGAGATCAAAAAGCTTATACAGAATATCTCAATGTGCAGACCTAACAACTGGTTATAGTGTTAAGAGCCACAAGATTAAAGACTTGGAGAATATAATGGGCAAGTAAATGCAAAGAAATGTTAACATAATTCCTACCAGATTATACAGTATAGGATAATCCACAACCTCCCCTTCTATGTGATACAATAAACGTGGGTAATGTTTTCACTCTCTGCCGACTTTCCGTGGAAGGATTTAAATACTGTTCAGAAAAGAAATAACAAGAAAAAAAATGGAAAATATAGTTGGTCAATATATTTGTAGACTACATGTATACTGTACCATATTAAAAGATTATACAGAAAGTCTCAATTCACAATGTTGTATGTTTCTACTTATAAGTCAGACTATTCCAAATTATAAGTGAATAACAGAAAAAAAGGCCCCTTTTTAAACCAACAACAGCTCTATCAGTACAGCTATTGGTTAAAATACTGTAGACTAGATAATTGACAAACAGCCTCACTAGGGATATTTCATCAAACCCTCTTCTCATATTCACCATATTCCTTCTCAACTATTGATTAAATTTCTTATCCATCCTTATTAACCTTTTCTGCCATGATACAAAGTGGCCGTAATTAAGAGAATCACCGCCCCTCCCTTAATTTACTGTTATTCGTTCTTGTTATCTAACATTACACATATTTTGTTATGCTGTTCCCTCCGACAAGGGAAAAATTAAACAAAGATTTTGTTTATGGAATCTGAGAAGCAGCCACAAAAGGTCATCACTGATATTCTTTTTAAATCCCTAACAATTGCTGATAATAATTCAAGAATATGAAAGTAAAATTTAGTGTTACTTCCTCCGTATAATTTCAGGAGATATCCTTTAATTTCACAGCCATAGTATATACAGACAAAGAAGCCATGACAAGAGTAAATACATTTCATTATTCACTACATATCTGTTGGACCACTGAAAGATAATAATATAATTTATCTGGTTAAAAAATTATACCGGTAAGGATTGATTCGGTAACACTACTTAAGATACTGTGCTGCAAGAGTTATAAAATGAACAGTGATTCAACTCAAGATTATGACTCTTAAAATAATTAAATACTGTACTGTATCATACTCCTACATGATAACTAATTTAACATAAAGAGGCTTTGCCATATCTTCTGGTTATATGTTATAATTATATGTACTGTACAGTATGTGTAAAATTAGTACTGTTTATGTTCTAGAAACTCAAATACAGTACTGTATACAGTAATACAAATATGATATAAATGACAAAAAGAAGAACTGGTCAGCTTTTATGAAGTTGTTTATGATAATTACAGAATACTTCATAGGCATCAGAGTTTGGGAGGCAATGGTGGTGTGTGACTTCAAAATTTCAAGACTGGAATTTTTTCTTTAGTTTGCCTCACAACAAAGCTGAATACAGTTCTGTAAGAAGTACGACTCCTTAATGAAAAATAGGTTCCTCCACCTGGTGTGTGTGCACGTGTCTATATGTATTTTCTTGAAACATTGTGGAAAAATGTGTATGTAGTACTGAAATAAATTGGGTTTCTTATTTTATTTTACAACAGCTTCGAAACATGTTCATCCTGGATGTAGTTTATACTGTATTCTCAGACACTATCACAGGTTGACTTTACATCTGACAAGTTATCTTCCCACGACAGGTAGAAGACTAAAGAATGGTAAAGAAATTTTATGGGTTGAAATACAACTCGGCTTTTAACATGGGGTCTTATGGGAAAATGGGTCCCGACAAATGATAATTCACCCATTGAGCATTTCTTTGGGAACACACACACACACCTACTGCTCATTAAGTGGAATCTTACGATGTACTCTTATACTGTCTTATACTGATGTTAACAGTCACTAGTTTGCTGCGTATCTTAAAGTCTTCTTTTCAATGCTTCGACCATAACAGCACATTGTACATACTATTTTCAAGGGGGAAAGAGGTATAGAGGAGGATTTTTGCATTAACACTCAAAAGTGGCATTGAAAAAGAATAAGTACAAATATACTTGTAGATCATATACTCAGTATTTACATAGAGAAGCCATATTTACAACCATAAGTTATATTGTTGTATCAGAGTCTATGATAAACTGTATTAATAATAAAATATGCTTGTGGAGTGACCTGGCAAATTCTGTGCTTATTTTACATTATCTTAACAAAGCCTAAAATATTATCCACATCACTACATTCAAAATACATTACAAAATATAACACAACTATGTAGAACTCTCATCAGACTAACAGCTAACAACAAGAGTACACACCGAGTTAAGTCATTAGAGGTGTTCAATGTATAGAGGTTTCATCAAGTGTAAACTGTTTTTGTTATTTCCAGTCCATACTAATGTGGTACATGACTAAGTCTTACTCAACAACATATAACTCTTAGATATTATAAGGGCATTAAATATTATTTCACTCCACCCCAGCCACAGTTAAACTCGGAGCCTTATACCCAAGCTCCGAGCATAATGCCTAATCTCTGAGCCTAATGCCTAAGCTCCGAGCCTAACATGAATAGACCATTATGATTTTAATAACGAGATATACAAGTCTCTGTTTGCTTATTTTTACGAATTTCGGTGAGTACAACAGCAATTCAGTTTTGGACTTTGCTAAAACAAATCACCCTTCACATTCATCAAACCTTTTATAATTAGAGTACTGTACTATACTGTATACCAACTCAGTTTTGCAACAATGCCCACACAAGAGTACTATACTAAGTAGCCATGTTACTGAAGTTTATAGACCCTTTGAATGAAGAAAACAATATCAAGTAGTACTCTTCGTCAGGGTTTATTTTTAGGGGACCATAAAAACGGTTAGGTTTTCTTTCTATAAAACCTAAACCAGTTCTAATTTTTCTTTTTCCAAGCATACAATCATTTTCATGCTACAGGTATAAGGTACAGCAGTTGGACAATTACTGACCTCTGGATTCTTAGCATGTAGCAGCTAGTGGGCTATACTTCCTCCTTGGCAAGTTGCTAGTCCACCAAATGGTTGTTCCACTATCATGTAACAAGTATTGGGTTGCCTTATCCCCTTATTAGGATACTAGTGAACCAAAGTGGTGTCCTCCCAGCCTACTACAACCATGGGCTCCTCACCTCCCTCCCATCCCCACCAGCACACATGCATCAGCCATCTGTCACTCAAGCAACTGATAGTCAATATTTTGGTCACTTTTATTTTTTCTCTTCTCATAAGAAAAATTCATATAAGATATCCAACAAACAAAAGAATTCTTCTCTCTAATATAAAATTCACATATATCATCATCATTAACCGAATAATAATACAATGTTAAAACCTCAGCAATGGGAGAGTTGAGAGTTATACATGTAAAGGTTTAAAGACTGAAGCATGACCAGCTTAGTACACATACAGTATCACACCGGAAATAATACTCTCAGAAAAAATTAACCAAAGTTTTATATATAACATGAAGGTGAGAGAATAAAATGATATAGGAAGAGTTATCATCATCAAAAAATAAAATAATCTAAAAGACAATATAATTAAACATAATATAAACCCGAACAGTGGAGTTCACAATGGTACTTTCCTCACTGTACAATACAAGATTACATCATCTCAATATAGACTCATAATAACTAGCACTCACTGATAAGCATACACAAGTCTCTTACAATAACTCTATAGTTCTCATAGGGATTTATCACATTACTCCTACATAGATACATAGTGATAATAGTATTTATCTCGGATCATCTACTTTTACAACCGTGACAATTTACATCCAGATTCACACGTTCACTCTCTTCTCATCATAACATAAAGAGATTGTTATTAAGTCTAATGGATATAGATAAATAGATTAATTCAACTGTAATAAAATACAAAGGCAAGGTTTCCTCACCCATAGGTATACACTGTCCAGAGTTTTATTCAAGCATAAACATAAGACCTATATAGTTATGTCATTATGTAAATATAAAAGAAAACCAACATCTATAATAACACTTAAACATGAACACCATGTGTATGTATGTATATGTGTGTGTGTGTGTGTGTGTGTGCACGCTAAAGAAGCTCATCCTTGCAAGAACAAATTAGTAAGAGATATTGATCCTCACAAGAACACACAAATATGAACACATGTGCTGTACTGATCCTCGTGAGAACAAATGAACACGTGAAAACACCTCAATCATGGTGAGAATGAACGAGTGTTGACACGTGTACCATACTGATCCCCACAAGACCACATGCGAACACATATGCTGTAGCGATCCTCAGGAGAACAAACAAGCATAAAAATAATTATTTACCGATCCTCAGGAGAACACATGCACCACACTAATCATAGCAGGAACACACAAGCGTGAACACGTGCATGAGATACCGATACATGTGGGAACACATAAAACACATAAACGTTAAGTGCACTCAGTGAACAGCATGAGACAAACTTCAGTAAACCGCAAAAACAATGAACTATGTCTTGACGGCCAGTAGGGTTCTCAGAGGGAAATACTTACTAGCTACAGTGATAGTCTCCATTTCACAACCCCCAGAAAAGGAGAAACATTTTAATATTTCACTGTTAACCTTAATAGATAAAATATGAACTATGACTAAACCACCATCAGGACTCACCACCTCTCCTTAGCCACAAAAATAAAACTCAAGTATTACTCCAATCAGTAAAAATTGTCATCACAGTTTCTGTTCTTCACCTCAACACAACACAATAGTTTGTTCAACTGTAATTAGTATATGTAAATAGTCCCCCTAGATGGTTTCTACCTCGAGGTGAACCAACACATTAGACAGTGTAAATTCAACACCACTACATTACCTGCACATACTGTATAGTTTAACTTTTTTTTGGAAGTGTTGCAGTTGATAAATTTGGCTTGGCAATTGGCACATTCAGGTCTAGTATAAAGTCTCGACATCACTTCTTCCTTACATAACTGAACTAAAATGACTTTCAATGCGTATTTATTCTATTTTTCTGCAGTTACATCACAAGAAGCTCGATGCAACGGTATATATATATATATATATGATTAACAACACTTCCATTCTGAGAGATCTACTGTACTCAAGAAGACAAGGTCACCACATGTATCTCTTCTCAACTTGTGGTCATTTCATTGCCTTATCATCATCACCAAGTAGTGTTTTTTATTATACACTTGTGTCCGCCCTTTCACCGTCTCTTCACTGATGCATCAATCTTCCAATTTTTATAAGATATGTGTTGATGTGGAGCCAAGAGCAAGTGTGTTCACAGGTCCTGACCGCGGGAGCCAGCCACTGACACGCGAGTGGGAACGCTTCCAGTGGTGCCTAAACCGAGGTCCCCGTCGTAAACTGGGTTGGTTACACTCTGCAGGGAAAAGAATAAAACACAGACTTTTGACATACTGTATATACAAGTAGCTTTTATTAAATATATTACATATACTATATATATATATATATATATCACCACGTAATAAGCATTACTTGAAAATTTTATAAAAAATTAGTAAACTGTAGGGAACAGCATTAGCCAAGACAATATAACATAATTGAACCCATGTGGTAATGTAACTTAAAAAAATATATAATAATAAGACAAATTCATCAAGGGGGGAAGAAGCACAGGGGACAGAAACAGGGAACAGTACACAAGCAAGGTGACTAGTCAACCTGTCGACCAATCAGACGACTAAATTGTGTTTTTTTCCCCTCAGGGCATGTGTATATTCTGAAAAGGACATCAAAATGCAATAAAAATAAATAAAAAAAGCAAAAACATATATTTCTTAAGTTCTTTCAAGTACAGTACTGGCAGAGTTAGGTAGAGCGGAAAAAAGCAGAAAAAGCAGCGAAACAAAAATAATAAAATAAAATAAATAAAATTAAAACAACAAGACATCCAATCGGGACAATGGAGACAGGCAGATATTGCTCTTTTCGGCATTTGGTTTGGAAGCATTTATCTTTAGTGTACAATTTCTCATTCATTATCCACCTGTTAGAAGGTAAGTTGGCTCCTGCGAGATGGCCGTACAAAGGACAGGTTTTCCCAACGTCTAAACAATATGGACACATCATACGTACAACCTCCTGAGAGACATGGCCAGGTTTGGGATATTAGAAGTCCATCAAAAATTCTAATAACATCAGTGAATAAGAAATTTTGCTCTTTCGTCTTTCAATTTTGCAAAACCATTTTCTACCACAGCAAAGGGTAACCAAAACCAAAACAACAACAACTCTTTTTATGTAATTTCCCGTCTTTTACGTTAATTACTGTAGCATATGTGTTTTGCTATAGTGTTCCTAATAGCAGAACACATCCAATACAGTAGTTTGTGAAGTCCCATGACAGTGAATGACATAGTTTGAGTTGTTTTTGATTCCAACGACCTTTATTCTATAGCGGGACTGGGTTTGCAGAGTAAAAAGTTAAAAAAAAATTTATCGAATTCTTATTTTATACTTTGTACACCTTATTTCAATTTTGGTTTGTTGTGGAATTAAGAGTGGCTCCCTCAGAACACCAATAGAACCTACCATAGGAAAGTATTACAACAAACCAATCATGTATTCAAACCAAATGCCTGTTTTGCCATGTCACATACCAGTCTGGTCGTTCAGTAGTTAGTAGTACAGTAGTAGTTCCATTGATGGTGGTAGTAGTGGTAGTAGTAGTAGTAGTACAGTAGTTAGTAGTGGTTGTGGAGGTGATGATTGGTGAACGGGGGTTGTTAGTTACATGAAATTCTGGGCGTCAAGGCTATGTTGGCTACGGTTATCCCCAGAGTCCCGATCCCGCTTTAGTATCCGGAAACCAGAGCCAGCGAGTCCGTCCATAAGTTATCATGGAACAAAAAACAAAAGAAGAAAGAAACAAAATAAGCATGAAAACAAGAGCAAAAAGGAAAGAAGTGGCACTAGCTCTACAAAAAACCTTTACAACTCTTCCACCTCAGGACATTACTGATTCTTAGTAATACTGTAGTACGTATATATAAAATTTTACACCAACTTTAATTACAGAATGAAACCCTGACGGAACTGTTACAGCAGAGCTAAAAAACAAAATAACATATACAGTGCACACCATCGAGACAGTACATAAAACCATGATATTAAACAGAAAATTTTCTAACATGATAAAAAATAAAACAATAACTACTTATACATCTCCAGTTTTATCAACAAGTCCTCCACAGGATCTTTATTTACCAAACAATATTGTATCAGTCTCACACACCAGAAAACACTTGTTCTAATCTGCATCATTTATAGATAATTATATTTGTCAACATCAAAACCCCTAAAAACATTGTTTAATTTGTGATGAAGGTCCTGAACATCTTAATTAGGTCCAGCCTACAATTGGACTAAGATGAGAAAATTAAAAAATATTTCTGAGAAAGAAAATTAAAGAGAATAAATAAAAAAACCCAAAGGAACTAGTAACAACAGGAAGTAATGATATACTAAGAAAAAGTAATTGATTGATCTTGAAATCCCATTTGATAATGAAGACCAAACTGAGAAGAAATTCATTACTGAGCCTAGGGGGCAAGTTTAGGGATCAGAATCCAGAATAACCCTAAAAAATGAGCAACAAGATGCCAATCAAAACATTGTCTACACCTATAGTTCTAATTACTACTATCTTTGTAAATAAAGTTGCCATTTAAAGCAGAAGTAATATAAACCGTATATTCCTCCTGTCACTTGTTAGGTCACACCAATAGTCTGTGCTTCAGAGCAAACCTGTCACACTACAGTATACCCTTGAGAGGTCCTTCCAGGCCAATCTGTTATAAAATGCAACTTCAGGACCAACCCACGATGTACAACATAACAATTGCCCTACAAAGACCCGTGTTACAAGTGGCCAGCCTGCCTGACATTGCGAACAGGAGAAACATCTAACACAACAGCATCCAGTTGACAAAACCATTATGGGGAGTAAATCTTTCATACATCTCACAGTGATACCGGAAGAGGCAAAATCCTCCCCACCTTCTCAAAATCAATTAAAACATTTCAGTATCAATGAGTTTAATCAGCTGTGTTAATTTGTATTTATATTTAGTTGATTGACGAACAAAGATTTCCACTGACTTGATAGATTTCCTTTACCTATTCCCCCATGGTGCTGTCTGATGTCTGTGGACAAAGAGAGTTCAGTTTGCTGAATTTTCCACAATAATCAAACACTTCTCACAGGGGGTAAGTTATACATGTAATAGTAAAAATCGCTGGTACAGTACAGCACCGCTCCAGTAAACATGCCTTAGAGTACCAACTTCATTACACACAAATAATATCTTAAATAAGTTCCAGTCATGATCCTTCTCACTGTACAACTCAGTAGTTACTCTTGCATATTGCCTTAACAGAGTTAATAATAACACCCTATAAATGATATACCATGAGCAGGTCTAGTCTTAACCAGTGAACACCAGTCATACCAAACCAGTAATTCTACCTACAACTCACTAGCAAGGGATTCCTTCCCAATTAACAAACCACAAGACAGGTAGAGTTATTTAAGAGACCTGTTCAGGGCTCTGGTCATGGCAGGGAACATAGCTAAATCTTTTGATTAGTCCCTAATTGCTCTCACTGGGGCTAATCAAGGTTCTAACTTCCTAAACATGGCTGACAATACCAAGCATTCCTCCAGGATGGTCATTAGGTTGTACACTGTATCTGTTTATCTACCATATTTAGAAATTTTCCCCCAACACGGTACACCTTTACTCCACTCACAGCTGTATGAGGTGAAACAAGGAAGCAAAGCATTACCATAAATAAAACAATGAATCAAACTCCTTTGTTGCTTAAATGCTACATAACTATCTGTACTTATCATCTGTTGGTGTAGGAAAATAGTAAACTGTCATTGGCTACACTTTTTACATTACTGTACTTAGCTATACTGTATGTTAGACATTAACTGCAGAATATTGCAGTCTTTAAATAGTAGGGGGAAGTACATACCTGCAGTGACCCGCCCCCAAGTTCCAACACATATGTTATCATATTAGTTTTGCTATCAGGTCCACTTACCACTCTAGACCAGATAACATTAGATATCAGTTTTATTAAGAGTAAGAGTTATAAGTGTTTCCAGGCCATTTCTCCCAGTACCGAGCAGGTAGGGAGGCCAGAATGAAAAGCAATGCACACTTTCCCTTCAGTGACAGTCAATTGTTTTTTTTGTAACTGCCATAACAGTTATCACTGATGATACCTAAAACAAGACAGGGAACTTAAAACAACAACAACTTATACTAACTGCATTCCACACACAATAATGAGAAAAGTCACAAGTATTTCAGTTTACATTTCAAATCAGTAATGTCCTTGAGACTATCGAAGAGATTTTAACAGGTTTAAGGTGCAAGACTTCTTTAGTGGCATTAGAAGCAAGCTTAAGAGGTGGAATGTCTGAGAAAAATGCAGGACTGATATTGAAGTTTCATTTTACACCAGAGCCTGGAAAGAGTAACTGGAGTAAGTGGCCACCAAACTCTCTGTGTGTGTGTGTCAGAAACCCAACAAACCTGACACTGTGACACCTCAGGCTAACTTGATGATTTACCCAACCCTACCATAGCAATCTGTAGCCCTTATAAAATGATCTGTGTATCCATATCTACCACTGAACACTTCAATGGTAACTGTAGTTCTTATGGAAGGGTTGGATGATCTTTAGATAAGGCCCAGCTGCCTTAACTCTTTGAGAATGATGGTTTAACCCTTTTGAGGACAATGATTTAACTTTAAGAGGACGATTATATAAACCTTTGAGGATGATGATTTAACCCTTTGAGAATGATGAATTAACCCTTTGAAGATGATGATTTAATCCACCAGGACTCAAAGGGTTAAGTTAGGTTTTCCTGGGTTGCTCACTCACAGACTCTGGTGGCCATACACACAAGTTACTCTTGAATGATGTCTTATTATACACTTAAGAGGATAACATCTATGAATCAGAAAATGTGTTGCAGAGTAAGTAATCAGTCTTCTCATTCTTAATCAGGTGCTGGCTTTAACCCCTTGTATATGAGGCCCCCTTCAGAGCTGAATAAAATCGTCTGGTGTTGGCCAAATATCAAAACTGGTCTTATATAAGTTCAACGATTAAGTTGTGTCCCTCTTACCCTCAAATTTTAACACTACAAGAGAAGACTGATTAAAGGTAAAGGGAAGACATTAAGACATTACGTGACAGTCATATACCAAGAAACTACAAGTTTCCTGGTACACTGGTCGGTAGAAAGAGTAATCAACTAATCATTAACGAGTAAATCTCTTGAATTAAAAATAATATTCATAATCACAAACATTATTTTTCTATAAGTTACACATCCAAATTTTCCCCCACATTAAAAAAAAGTTGAATGACATAGATAAGTCAACTGTGGGCATTTACTTTACCAACCATCTCCAATCCTTCCCAAGCTGAACACCCAACTGCAATGTCTGAACACCTCCAGGAAAGTTGTGTCTGGTTAGCAGGAGAGGGAAACATCTGCTGCCTGCATTCACTAACAAATAAACTGGTTTGAAAATAACATGGATTGGTTGTGTAAGTAAATAAATATCTGTTATAGACTAAACAAGTAGGAATGTGTATGTGTGTGTGATAAACTGCATCAGTATATACATTCTTAATACACTTTGTGACATAAATCAAAAGGAGGTTAAATCCTAACAAAATAAGGTCAGGGGCTCCGAGGTACAGGTTCTCTTTTTATGGGTAACAATAACTAATGACTATATCAGTTCAGAATGACAGGTAAGGTTTTCTATGTACATCCAGGGGTACAAGCCATCTCTACGTGCACCTGAAAACCAGTACTGTATAATAATTCTAGTTGTTTTTATAGTTCAGTAAGTTGTTTCTCAATTTTTTGATAAGGAATCATCTTACAGTTTTTCTAAGTCTGTAGGATCAGCTTCTATGCCTTTTGTGAGCCAACAGGGGATCAAATTCTGCTTCTTTTGAGCCAAAAGGGGATCAAACTACACAATATAAGCTAGACACAAGAGGATCACCTTCTACTGTACATTTAGTCTGCTAACAGGGGATTAAATTCTCTCTAGTAGCCCAAATGAAGCTCACTATCCAGTCACTTCTGAGCTAACACGGAGGAGACAACAGAGGTCACGAGTGTGCAAGAAACTTTATTATACATCTGGTGTGGTAAGAGAAGCTGTGGTATATGCAGGTGTTATCCAATCATGACTGTTAGATAGCATTAGTGATGCCTAGCACAGTAGTACCTCAAGTGCTCTTATTAAATAAAATGGACTGTACGACAGTTTACGGTGCCTTCAAAATTTTGAGGAAAATTTAATTAAAAATTAAAATGTGAGAAAAAGCAAAATTGAAACATAAAAAATTCAACTTGACAATGAATATGAAATGGCATTGCCCTTTTGTATCAATAAGAAGCACAGGAAGGTCATTAATGAGCTGCAATATGGAAATACTGTGATGGAAAAAATGCAATTAATAGTCAACAGCAGCAATCACAAGGTCGAGCATGGGACTCACCTTGCCAGTTGAGTCTATGGAGGTGCGCACTCCCCCGGAACCGAGTAGGGTGTCGTCTAGGGGCAGGTCGTCATTGAGGGGATCCCGATCCTGGTGGGCAGCAGAGTTATGTTCATCATTACTGACGGACTGACAGCCTTTCCACCATAACATACCCTATTTTTTAAGTGGTTTTAGGTACAGTACATACACATTTAAATATCAATTTGTTGTAGTTTGCCAAGGTTTAGAAATGAGAAAAATTCCTTAAACATTTATTTTCTAGCATGTGGAAGCACTAATTACACAGGCAGGAGGATCAACACCAACACACACAACTAAATATTGCAATTGGGATAAAAATGGTAACTTACTATCCACAGTGACAGTATCAACCACAAACAGTATAACTCAAACAGTCCATGACATCGTTACCTGCGTGAGCTGTTCCGTCGTGGTGAGAATTCTGGCTAGAGGAGCACAACACAGGGGCGTGGTGTCCAGCAGTGTGGGGCGGCTGTTCGTCAGGAGGGGCTTCATGAACTTCACGTCAAACCGCGACCAAATGCGGAAGAGCCAAGCCTTCTCGATCTTGTGGGAACTAATAGAATCCACAGCGCTCTCACCTCCCTCCTCTGCCCCTGGACCCTGTAAAGACCAGTATTTAAAGGGGAGCCACCAACACTGAAACACTTTGAGGGGTAATTCCTGGTACATGTGATATTATTTAGTAAATAACCAAGTACTATATGGATCATAACTCTAACAGAACAGAAATATTAATAAAAACTACTCATTATATGTTTCCTATAATTTGATTAAGATACACCCTGTATGTCCACAACTGACCCTACAAAATTTGAATAATCTTTTGTACCTCATAATATTTCACTAGCAGGATTTCCTACTTTTTGAATCACAGTTATTGAAAATATATCTGAGTGCTGTAGATCCAGCACACTTTGACACCAACACCATACCATACATACATGCATACACATCTCCCAGATACCCAGCTCATCAGCTTGTCAATCGAGTAGTACCTTTCCTGATCATCCTACCAAGATTAATTTACTAATTCCGTATCATATAAAAAACAAACACTCATGATTGAAGATCTATATAATAAGAAATCTACCAATTTTTATCTCTCGCAACCATCTTAAACTACTACGTCTATCTCTCACATTTTTTATCGTTCTATTACCACTTTGCATTACTTTCCCTACTCACCGTTGTCTCCTCTTCCGAGTCTGGCTGGCACAATTTACAGTAGGTTCTCCTTACTCACGCTGTACAGGAGATGCTCATTCCTTGTATCAAATTTATACAATACTTGATCTACATTCTTGAAGTTTAAATACCCTTAAGAACACAGAGAATGACACAGTGCTGCCTATATTACCCCTCAACTCTACCTTTAAATATTCTACACCCTTACAATCAAAATTTCTACCTTACTAAAATAAAGAGTAATATAAAACTATTAAATACTGTACATGTTATTCTCCAGCATCAAATCCTACTGAGAAAGATGGAGGCCCCCAAATGACATTAAAATGGTGACAAGACTTTATTATACAGTACAGTGCGAGAACTTCAAGGTGTTACTTTCGACTTGGAGGGGAGAACTCTTGATAACCATTTTTATTTAGGGAGGATATCACCATAAAGATAACATCCACCTGTGAACATGGGGGAACTTTATAAAACATTCAATAACTCAAGTCAGTGAACAAATGGTACAGTCAAGCTACTAAAGTCCGTCTGTCTCTCCCCCCCGAACCATGAAACCCCAAGATTCAGACTAGAGAATCTGAAGCATTTATGGATGGAATAATGCATCAGTCTACTGCTTTTGGTTCATGATTCTGAAACTCAGGGTTCATGGTTCAAGGGAAGAGGTGAATGGATTTTAGTAGTCGACTGTATTTGGGTAAAACTTGGGGAAGACCTTTTTGAACAAGTAACATGCATACATACGAGCTCTGTCCAAAGTAATCAGAATGGAACCATACCAATCCTCCACAAACACTAATTACTCAAAGATATGTGGAATTCCAATGAAAACTGATGGACGAGTTGACCTTATAATCTTCTGATAACAAACACACCGATCACTATACATTTTTCCCTGCAGTTGGGTTGGTTAGGTTAGGTTAGGTGTACTTAAACCAAGCTTCGTACTATTAAATACAAATCACGAGGATAAAAGTCAGCACTTCTACAGTTTAACCACAAGTAATTCCAATTATTTCTAGGCTCATACATTTATTCTACTGTAATTATCATCCCTATACTCAACAACTCTTCATTGATGTGTTAATAATCTAGTCATAATCATATACAAAATAAACATAAATTACCCGGTTCTTTAAATGATATCCCAGTTAGGCGAGTTAATTATCGTTGGATCTACAATACTGTACTTCAAGATTATTATATAAACTACACAATTTATCTACTGATCATACATACATTTTTCTTCTGTTTTAAAGTAGTTATATACATTTTTTTTGTTTTAAAGCAGTTATATACATTTTTTCTCTTTAAAAGCAGTTACATCAATTATTTTCTCTTTTTAAAGCAGTTTTATAATTTTGTTTTTTTCTTTTAAAGCAGTTATATACATTACTGTATTTCTCTTTTAAAGCAGTTATATAATTTTTTATCTTTTAAAGCAGTTATATAATTTTTTTTCTCTTTTAAAGCAGTTACATACATATTTTCTCTTTTAAAGCAGTTATATAATTGTTTTTCTATTTTAAAGCAGTTACTGTACATACAGTTTTTCTCTTTTAAAGCAGTTACATACATTTTTTTTAAAGCAGTTACATACATTTTTTCTCTTTTAAAGCAGTTAGATCATTCACTTTCAATGCTGCATCTGATGTATCAATTTTTGTATATGCAATTTATCTAGATCAATAAACAAAAGTTGATAGAGTTAGATTAAGCAAGTTGTTAAAGGCAAAAGCTCAGCATTGGTTGAAGTCAAGAAATTAGGTCTCAACACAGTGAAACTTCCATATAACGTACTTCTCTATGTAATCCGTTAGATGGGGGTTTCACATCTAATAGGCCCTTGATATAATGGACTTTCATCCCTATACATTTCATTAGATGGAAGTTATACACCTAATGGACCCTCGATATAACGGACTTTTCTCTCAATACAGTCCGTTAAATAGAGGTTTCACTGTAGCATCCATAACTAAAGCCACCAATGGAGTCATTTACTATGGTCCATCAACTGTGGTTCAAAGTACAACTAAAGTACACAATAAGGCACAAAACACCCTACTTTAATTACTGTACAGAGACCTTGTGACCCAGAGACAAATAATGATCAAGAGGAGGAGAAAAATGCATGATAGTAATAAGTCAATAATAGAAGAATGCCAATGAATGTCGTCGAAATGTAAATACAATAATAATAAACTGTGTGTGTGTGTGTGTGTGTGTGTGTGTGTGTGTGTGTGTGTGTGAGGGTTAATCCCAGACCACATAGTTAAGAAGTGTTGGCTGTTAAAATTTGTGTCCACACCTTAACCGTGGTCATGACTGCGTGAGATACAGTATATTCCTTGACTTCAACAATAAGCCAGAGTTTCCCCATGATATTACACTATATAAAGTCACATACACACACTACTAGCATACTATGTCACCTTCCAAATACTTCCAATTTAATTACAGAGTTAAAAACATTAAAATCAAATAGTATACAGTACAAATAGTAATAAATAGCAATAAATAGTAAAATAATACCAATGTTTAGTATTATTTTCTCCAGTCCATCACCACTATCACATAAACATCTACAAACTTTGGTACATACAGTAGTTTGTTCCGACGGACTTATACAGGTTTACTAATTATCCCTACGTACTATAACGGATTATATGAGAGAGTCCATTATATATGAAACCCCCATTTAACGAACTATGAGAGAGAGGGTAGTCCATTAGATCAAAGTCCGTTATATGGAGGTTTCACTGTACTGAAGGCAAAAAAGGTTAAACAATGGATATCAAACTTGAAGACTCGGGAAGACACGAGAAGAAACGAACACCATGTATGTACTAGTAGTCACCAATGAGTACATCTAATGAGAGGCTCCAAAAGTAAGCATAATCCTCTTTAAAAAAAAAATTAAAAATGTCTACATCTGGCATGCTTATTTTCCTCAGGTTTATTCCAGAAAAATTCTAACCACCAATTTACTCCACACGTGGCACCTATGACAGGAAAAATATGCTGCTATAAGAAAATCATCTGATAGTCTTGATACTGTATACCTAAGTCATAGGATTATATATTCAGAAAAAGTCACACATCTGTAGGTACTTCTGAAGACCCACACAAAATAAAATTGACAACTAATTGATGATGATATGATCTTTGGTGAAAAAGCACATGCTACTCTCCCACCCTTCACATTAGTGACATTCCTCCTCAGCATTTTATGAGTTCAAATTTTTAAATATAATGAAAGAAGAAAAGTAATAGACAAAAAGCACATGGTAACAGAGAAGCGATACACAGGAAGTAAACATCGGAGTGTGAATCAACGAAGAACAACTAAAAAAAAGCTGGATTCTTCTATTGTCTACGACCCACACCCCATGCAAAGGAGAAAACCAAAAGTTTACGTACCCTGGACTCATCAATGCTTTTGTAATCCTGAAACACCAAAACAGAAGGAAGTTTTGATGGTCTTAATAAAAAAATAATATCATGTAACAACAAAAATGATATACAAGCTGCAAAAATGATGAGTAATTGAGCCATAATGAAAGGTACTAAGCAAGCTGCACAGTAACTAAAGGTTATATACCCACCCACACTTGCTCTTTACTTCACTCAGGCTGTCATGGTGTGATCTCATTACACATCCATAACAGACCCACATTCCTAAGACCACAGTAAGTACGTTACTATTACTGTACGTGTAACACAGAATGCGCCACGTGTGGAGATTTTGAATATTTTATTTGAAATATAGTCATTTTATAGCTTGTCTCAACAGCTGTCACAAAAGTAACCTGAAAAGTTTTATCCTAATCTAATATTCTTACATTTTGTCATGATCAGTACAAGATATGAGAAAAAATTGCATGCCAATAAAGGCTGACCTTCCTATTTCGTCTCCTTCCCCCCCACCCAACCCAACACCTAGACTCAAAATAACCAAATATAAAGACTCTTCTATGAGCTATTGGGAGTTGATTTTACTGACCAAACACATACAGCTTAATAGAAGGAGTGAGGTCTGACAGTGGTAACCAAACTATTGTCAGTGATCCTAAACATTATCACCCTTGATCACTAGTCTAGTCATCCATCCAATGAAACAGTTACCTTTTACCTGCACTTGGAAACTCCACTAATAGTTGACGTAAACCCCAGTCAAAGTTCCGAAACTAATTAAGGGCCATAACCGGTAAATACTAAAATAAAGATGTCATATTCTGATTACCAAACTGAGTTTAGATGTTTATGATGTAAAAGGTGTATTCTAAAAATTTCAAAATCCAAGAAGGATGAAATTATACAAATGTCCTAAGATATAAAGATTAAAGCAATCCTTGATGCCTGCCTTTTCTCTATGGGGTGGGGGAGGAAGGGGAGGCTGCATGATCATAAATACAGCATAAGTAAAAAGAAGGATGCTTACCTTTACCAGGAGGAAGTAGGAGTGTTGAAAAAGACTAAGAAATAAGTGCAAAAGAGAAAGCCATAAGAAAAAAAGGAGAGTGAAATATAGAAAAACAGCAGTCTTTTTGTGGAGGGGTGACCTGAGGGTGAGGGATGCTTGTGCTTCACCGACACCTGGCAGTTAATGGTGTAAACAACGCTAATACTACGTGTATCCTGAAGACCACTGTATATGTTTTCACTCTTGAACAGAAGGGAGTCATTATTTGGACTGTGTGATGATAAAGTCTCCAAGCTAAACTATTTTAACCTAACCCATCTCACTTGTCTTTCTGGCCTGTGATGCTAAGCTGATCATAGGTGAGACACTCGATGAACCCTGAAGTCTTCTCAATGTCACAACGTCTCCTGTTCCCACCAGACTTATGATACTAAACCTTTCACTTACATCAATGTTAAATAGGTAAAGATATACATTCATCTTGTGACCTCAGTATAAACACTAACTTACAGGGATCACCACAGAAAATAATGCATGCATGGGGGCACAGTATCCATTAACCTGTGGTATTGTGTCAATGAATCTCAAGACAGCAAAAAATTAGAAAAAACAATTCAAGTACTGTACTTAAGTGTACTATGTATAATATGTATTTAGCAATATACATAAATAAATTGGGTGTAAAGTAGAATATATTAATTGCTATCATTAATAAATCTGCAAAAATGGCAAAATAATGCATAAAATTTTGCACCAGTTACCAATCTGGAAGTGCAGTGAGTGAAAATTCTACCGTGGTATTAAAGATTCAAACATGATAAAACCCCCAGATAGACACATACACTTGAGTCACTTGTGGTAATCCCTCATCCTGTTGCTTCCTCTTAACTAACAATAAGAATAAAAAAAATATATATAAATGAAAAAATAAATAATAATAATAATACTTGGGTGGGGCTTCTCTAGAAACTACACAGATGCACTAAAAAAAAAGAAAGGTGTTTGACATGCAGATCATTTATGACTTACATTTCTGATGGGCTGGAACTGATTCAGGTGATGGGTCTCGTCATCCTCCACATCAACACTAGTACAGAGGAACAAGAGAGTCAAGTCATTATCGATACGAACATACAGTATGTCCATTATCTTCATTCCTCTCCTAATAGTGTCTGGGATGGGCTACTCACAGAAGCACTAACCCCTTCCCTATGGGGATGCCACTTTTAATAGCACCAGATGATTTTATTTAGCAGAGAGGGAACCCCATACACAAGGGGGTTCAAGAAAGAGAGGAAGACAGTAGATAAAATGGTACTATAACTGAATATAAAGCAGAGAGCTAACACAACCATTTAGTCACCCCAGACACAACCGCTTCACGTCTTCAATTGTAACGAGCATTACGGAGTGAAAATCCCAATCGCCCATACTGTCCCGTAATAATTCATCGACAGTTTATCGTTGTCAGGTATGCATTATGTACAGTCAACTACAAAAGTCCGTTCACCTCTCCTCCTGAACCACGAACCCTGAGATTCAGACTCGTGAGCCCGAAGCAGCAGACTGATACATTATTCTGTCCATAAATGCTTTGGATACATGAGTCTGAATCTCTGAGTTCCTGGTTCAGGGCGGAGAGGCAAATAGACTTTAGTAGTTGACTGTGCTGAATTAATACAGCCTCTGTAGTGATAAGTGCTGCATAAATTCCTCCCATAAAGCATATGCAACAAATTCTTAGTTATAATTATCAGCAACTCTTAAGCAAGTCTTGATAGAAGCCGGTACAGTAACTAGTGATGACCACCATCTGTTAATCAATGGATATGATTCATCTCTCAATCTCTATTTCTTTGTGCATAACAATTACCCATAAATTTCTGTAGGTATAACAGAAATCAAAAGTCATAACAACTACTCTGCCTGTTATTGAACTTCTGTATATTCCCACCAGCAACAGCTTTATGCCACACCAACACAATCACTAAACAATATTGATGTAATACCCTGTACAGTGTAACCTCCATATAACGGACTTGTCTCTCCATATACAGTAATCCGTGAGATGGGGGGGGAGGAGGTTTCACATCTAACGTACTCTCGATTAATAGACTTTCATCTCTTTATAGATATACAGTAGTTTGTTAGATAGAGGTTCCACTGTACTGACTTTAAATAATTATACAGCTCACTTAATAAGCACTCATATCGAAGAAGCATCAAGAGTTCCTTTAGCTCCTAAATGTCAACGACATCAACAGCTAATTCATCTTTATCCTTCAGTGAGAACACATACTGTCTAAGCTTTATGTGGCTGCTAGCTAATCCATCTTTATCCTTCAGTGAGAACACATACTGTCTAAGCTTTATGTGGCTGCTAGCTAAACCATCTTTATCCTTCAGTGGGAACACATACTGTCTAAGCTTTATGTGATTGCTAATTTCAAACATGAGCTGCAGAAAAAAATAAGAGATTCAATTACACACTTCATTAATTCAATTCTCAAAGGAAATAGCTGATATGAGGTGCTTCTCCAGGGGTGAAATACCCCCAAAAAATTTAATACTGTAGTAATTATGGCTAACCAATGAATCACTGCTAAGAAGGAAAGCCAACACACATCATCACCATTTTACAAGCAGCTGCTTTCCGTAATGGTGTAGATTGGCCGTGATTACCTCAAGGGAATCTCCCCGCGCTACGCAGTCTCTTGCAACCTCTCATGAGGTAAAAAGTATGACTTGATCTGTGACCCAGAGACAACACCCAGAAGTTAGACACAGCAATTAAATTATGATGATAATAAAAGTAGTAGTAATAGTAATAGTAATAATAATAATAATAATAATAATAATAATAATAATAATAATACAGTACAGCAAACTATACTTACGGTATCCCCAGCCAAGACAAGACCTGTGTGGTAAATCCGCCACACAAGATGACGGTGACTATGACAATGAGAGAGGTAGTAGTCAAGATAGACTTGCGTGCATCACTACTGGTGTTGCGGATGGCCAGAGCAAAGGCAATAGCTCCTCTCAGACCTGCAAGAAGTAATTAATGTAAGTTGATGGCATGAATTAAGATCAAGACAGTTTATGTAAAGACAGCCAAGTGGAGTAACAGTTACTTAGAGATATATTCGTTGTCTTCCTTCCCTCAATGTTAATACTGTTTCCCGATTCAAATTTCAATTCCCAGCACCAATTAGTTTCCACATTCAATCTAAACACACATACGGGTGTAGTAATAACAATAGCACTGTCTGGATAGTGTACAGTACAGTATACCAAGTTCTTCCTGCACATTCACTTATTAGGGTGGAAAATACTCAAAACAAAAATTCTCTCCTAATCTAACACAGCATTTAAGTGTAGGGCCCTAATCTTAACTAGCAAGGGGTGGGTGGGGAGGGGGGGAATTGGTACCTAATTTGGTTATTCTCTTATATATAATTAAGATGGGTTGGTACCTAATTTGGTTATTCTCTTATATATAGTTAAGATTGATTCTATCTATCCACCTCACCCAATTTTTTCATTAGTATAAAGCTTCTTTTTGAGACTGTTCAGATTATCAGGTTCTCTAAGCAGCTTCAACAGCATTACATCTATACTATACAGTGAAACATCCATATAATGAACGGTTCTCTTTCAATATACTGTACAGTAATCCATTAGATTGCGGATGGTTTCACATCTAACGGATCCTCGATATATCGGATATTGGTCTCTATATAATTTGTTAGATAGGAGGTTACAATTCTAACACCCTTGATATATCGGAATTTCCTCTCCATTTAGTCCATTAAATAGAGGTTTCACTATACGACCAAACAACAACAACAATGCACCTGAGAAGAAAAGCATATTCATGAACTTGATGGGAATCTTAGGGTAGCGTCCGATATTGAGCAAGCAGGAGAGCGGGTAAATGTTGAGGAACCTCCCGACTATAATAGCCACGAAGGCGATGCAGATAAATCCAGGATCCCATTTGTGGTGGTCGAAGGTAAACATGGAGACGCCAATGTAGGAGAAGATGAAGTTCTCCGACAGGAAGTTGAGGAGTTCGAAGAGTGTCTTGGTGGCTACACGGCTCTCCACTGATAAGTTGTTGTAGGTGTAGTGCGCCTGACATATCCCACAGAATAGCACGGCAACAATTCCTGAGAAAAGGTAAAGGGGAATTTTATTGTCCCCCATAAGAGAGAGAGAGAGACACGGTGTTTTTCCCCTAGTATTTACACTTAAAAAAATTACTTGGATTTCAACATACCCAATAATACTAAACACTTTCACAATACTCCTGGAATCAAGCCAAAACTGAGTCTGTCACAAAAGCAGAGACCATCAATATTATATCTCCTGAAACTTTTGGTCTAAATATGAAAAATAAAATAAAATCTGACAGACACTCACATTCCCCAGGACACTTCTTACCTGTTAAATTTGCGCCCTCAGCCATAAGAAAGGTCGAGTAGGACATGAGCACAAAGAGAGCCGTCTCAAGGAGTGGGAAGTCCTTGAGTCGAGTGAACTTTGTGAGTATGGCCGTGAGGCAGCCCATCAGTGAGCCAATCAGGAAGGACATGCTGAAGATCCACAGGAAGTTGAATATGGCCAGGAAGAAGGCAGACGTCTCGAAATCGCCGGTGTCACTCCCGTAGCTCTCTATGGCGCTGTTTACAATGACAATATTCAATTAATACCAATATAAGTACTCCTGAACATGTTGGGATTAAGGATATGTTGTCTGCGGTGTGATATCTGTATACAGTAATTACTTGTCCAAATGACATCTCAAATATTTTAATTACCTTTCTAATACTAATATCCACTGTGTATGGTATTTGTAGAGTACTTTTATAAATGTAATATTCTAACCTGGACAACACAATGGCCACAGCATCATTTAAGACGCTCTCTCCAAACACGAGAGCATACAGGTTGACATCCACATGAAGATCCGAGAAGATGGCTAAAACAGTGACTGGATCCGTGGCTGATATAAGGGCACCAAACAGCAGGCAGTCGATGAAGGTGATGGTGGAACCGAAGAGCCAGAGGAACCCATACACCAACCCTCTGTAAATACAAACGTCATCACCATTTATCACAGTATTCACTTTATTCCCCAGAACAAACTATAAATTTATCAGTACAAAGGAGGAAGTGATCAGAATTACTGTACACTATGTTATAATCACAAAGCAATGTTATCAAGTGACAGGAATACACCATGTGGAGGCCTTGATTAGAAATTTATGAGAGTAAACTTTCCTTTGTCATCATATATATAAATATCCAGCCCAGTTCCCCATGAATCAGAGGTTAAGTTCCAAATGATAACCCTTCCAAAATAATGTACGTTAAACTTGCTACATACACTGTATAACATGAGAATATACAAACTTGTGTCGGTAAGGAGTCTAAACACGTACTGAATATATAAGAGTGACAATATACGGCGGGGATAAATTAAAGATAAACAAAATTCAGCAGACAACTAACCCAACGACAAATGTAGATATAGTTGTGCCGATGAAGGCGAACGTGAAGATGGCACCGAGGTTCTTGAAGAAATGTTTCTGAAAATAAATCCCAAAGTCAACAACTGAACACGTTTCAGTTAACCATATCTTAATATCAGGTATTATACCAAGCTGCTGTACTATTTCTATCAATGCACTGCAGATGTCTTCATTTGCACCATCTCCCAATCTCTATTCTTGCCTTAACACTTTCACAAAAAGCTCCACACTAAAACAACTTTACTTCATCATATCAATGCACTCGCTAACTGATTCACCCAACACTGCTGCTTCCTAAATGTCTGTCACTCCTCAACTATAATGCACCTTTCAACTCATCATTAGTCTTCTATCCCTCTTACCATCCATCTCCCTCTTACACAACCTCTTTATCAATCATTCTCTCCCTCTTATGCAGCCTCTATAGTAATCCTTCTATATCCATTATCTCTGCACCACCTAAGCAAATCACGAGCAAAACAGAGGACACCTATATAACATTATTTGACATCACAATATGAACTACTTGCAATTTCTGGACATAGTCTTGCTGAAGAACCTTTAATGCTAACTAAGAGAGGATTCTATACTATACTGTACCCTCTTAAGGCTGTAGCCGGCACTGAAGATGATCGGTGGCAGGAGAATGTTGAAGAAGATCTCTGGGTCAAAGGTTGCCTTGAAAAAAGATTGGAAATAAATTAAATGAACAGTGTTACCAAACAACACAGGTAGGTGATAACAGCTGAGCAAAATCTCCCATACTGAGGGTTCCATCAACACTAACTACAGTATTGTATACATACTTAATTAATGTATTTTAAGTAAATTTCTAATACTACAGTAATAATATACAGTGGTAATTAATTAAGTTCTATACTAAATTAATGATGATAATACTAACACAACCATGTAATACAGTATCTAAGAACTACTCCATGTCTTTTATGCCTTTTGAAGAATATTAATTACCTGTACGTATTGAGTAAATGTACACAACATAACTTACAAGCATTGTTATAGCATAGAATTAATTACCAAAATACATACCAACGAACACACCTATCTTACCTTTTGAACAATTTCATTCTCGAGTGTTTCTGCAATTTCACCTTTAAAAGAATAGACGTAGGTTCTGCCTGAGGTGGCATTGTTGATTTCTGAAACAAGAAACAAAATGATGAACTTGGCTTTGTATTTATTTATGTTTTTATTTTTTTATAAATTCCTCTAGTACTGTGAGTCACAGTGAGACCTCCATATAACGGACTTCTCTCTACATGTGATCGATTAGATGAGGATTTCACATCTAATGGACCTTCAATATAACAGACTTTCATCTCTGTTTAGTTCATTAGATGAAGGTTTCACATCTAATCGACCCTCAATATAATGGACTTAGCTCTCCATAAAGTCCAGTAAATAGAGGTTTCACTGTGCTGGGGTATCTTTACTAATATTCATACAGTACAGGGGTGTATATATATAAGATTCCTATAAGAGAAGTGTTCTTGCATATACAAAACCAATAATTTATAATACTTTATCATAATACTGTAGCCACACAACTTACCATGAGAATATCTGAACCACAATGAGTCAGGTGGAACGCTCTCAATGTATGATTGTCCCTTTTCTGCGACCACTTTTATGTGAGTCACGGAAGTGTTGTCTTTACTATACCTCAAGATGGCTCCCACTATCAAACCTGGAAACAACGATAATAATCAGTGATCACATTATACATATATACAAGTCCCGTGGCCATCAATAAACAACAGTACAGATTCAGGAGTAATAATTGTTGGATGCTGGACGACTCAAACCCAAGCAAATCGTACCCAATTTACGAGACAGTTAGTGTGTGTGTGTGGACAAAATTGATTTTAATATATAAATAGCATGAATATTGGGCGACACATAATCAAGTCGTCACATTACTCATACTGGTCATGTTTCCGTGTGGTCGTGACTTTTTAAACAAATCTATCCAGAGTATCATTAACATACAATAACACAACTAATGCATATGTGTTAGCCAATATTCTCACTCTTCGTTCTTTTATATCCTTATTACGACTGTATTTTCTTCTTGACGTTGACATGTCAGAAGAAGAAATTCCTGACGATGTCACGATGTCAGCCACTCAGTAGTACAAGTTCGTTATACCAGGAGAAGTACCAGAGAGGCGCCCTGAATTATATACTGTACACTAACTGATTTGTTTACAAAAAGCTGCGGCTGGAAAATCAATCTGTCTTATGCGTGTCTATATTTTGTTGAATTATGACCTTTTTAAACATTTACAGAGCCCAGTTTAAAAATTGAAACTGCCAAATCTATTAGCCTGAAATCTGAAAATTGCAATACAGTTATTCTAAACCACATAGTGTGAAATATGTACTTGTAGTGTAATGTTTGTGTGACGGAATAACATAACTTATTTAATGAGATGCAACAATTTTAAAGCCTGCATTACATTTCCCTATTTCACTTCACTTTCCTACATAATCTTTTTTTTGGTAATCATAGATAAAGCTAAAATGCATGGTATATATACTAATAGGTATGGATTATCTCTTCATTGGGTGTAAGCAATCTTGGGTATGACGTATCTCGTGAGTTGGGTACGAGTTGTCATTGGTACGAGTTGTCATTATTGGGTATGATTTATGTTGGGTACGAGATGACCCTAACCCATAATTGTTCACCTGCATACTGATCACTACAATGATTCTAATCACATTTACTACCAATATAAAATATACTTAAGTATTAACAAGTCATCAACAGTAACCTAAATTAACTCCCAGTTCATCCAGGGAGGTAAGGGGAAGGCCCAAGAGCCCACAAAGACAGGTATATGGTGTGGCTCCTGGTGATGAGTTATGGTATCCTTAAGCTTCCAATTAATTCTTAGATCAAAATGGCTGCCTACAATCCCCTTGGTCTACCTCCCTCTCCTAACCTGGTCCTACAGGATACCACATCATGCCGTGGTATACTGCCGTCAGTACTGATCAGGACCTCACCTACAGTACATGCAAGCCCACCATCACAAAGGTCCTCATTTCTCACAGCAATTATAATAAAAAGTAATTCTAATTGGTTTATCAGTTAGTTAAAAACTACTTGTAAACTTAGAAAAAATAATTATTATATACATCAGTTTTCAATAACAGATTTGTGATACGAAACAGTTCAGTGATAGTTTTGAATCTACCAGAGCAACAAAAGTAATGGTTCATTGGGGGAAAAAATCAATCTTATTAGTACAAAAATTGTCCTACACATTTTTTTCAAGAAATGACATCACGGCTTTACTTCCTGCTGACGTTGTCAAGACACACACTCACTCGACTTAAGAAGAAACAAAATTTCACCTAAATATTATCATCCCCAACTTTTCTGTCTACAAGACGTAGGTAGGTAGAACTTGGCAACAATCATCTTAAATTTACTTGATCCTCTTTGCCACTTTATTCAGCTCAGAATATTATTTTTGATCTCGACATGAAACCTGTTTAATGTCTTCACCAATTCGCCGTCAGTGTGTGCATCAAGCTGAAACATTCCGACTGGTAGAGGCGTGTCGGCAGGAATTCCCCTACACCGGTAACAAAACTGTAAAAACTGAAATATAGGTAAAAACGTTTATAATAATCAATAGAATACACGACATAATTATCATTCACAGTTAATTACACTTAATTCTTACCATAAATAACAGCGAGACCAGTTTCGTGTAGGTATCTTGCCCGATGGTATTTGAACATCCATATTGTCACCACAGTTAAAATCAACAAAACCGTATATAATAGAATGTTTAAACTATCAAGTCGGTGGGTTATCAAATACTTTTCATCTAATTCGATGTCTGTACCAGTTGAGGGTTTAGCTGTCACATAATGAAGTAAAGAAACGATAGAAATTACCAGAAACCCAGACCTCCGACCACCTGCCATGGTGAATGTTTACAACTGGTATCGGAATAAATAAATCCTGGGGAACTGAACCTCGAACAAGTGAGCATCACAGTCCATATAAACTATTTCTATTACTATTATCAAACCTTATTCATTTATTTCGCTGTAATACTTCAATTAAATATATAATAATAAAAAAATGCAAAAAATATAGTGAGAGAAACTAGATAACGATAATATTAAGTTTATTTTATATTTGAATCTATTCCTATTATACAAACTAAAAGGATCGAATAGCTTATTACCAATGTATCAATAGACGGCACAAGGCTCGTCATAGTCATGGGACGGAAGCTTCTTGCTGATAAGGCCGCCTCTAAATGTTAAATACATACCAAAATCATGACTGTCACCCCATTTATGTGTTAAAAATCTGACAACCTGGGTCTAACTTAACCTATCTACTCTATTATGGTTCAGATTAGGTTTGGTTTGATTTTTCTTGAGAATTAAATGATTTTGTTTTATTGGAAGAGTTTTTAACATTAGACATTTGCGCATGTAACCCGCATATATGTTGAGTAATAATAACCAATAACTCGCCTTATGTAGCTGCTTATATTATCATTGTGGGCGTTAAACTATCATCATATGTATTCACCTGGCCATCAGTATACGCAGTTTCTTCTCTAGTATTCACAGATGCGTAATTTGTAATAAATAGTTGTACTGCCAAGTATAGTTTTCAATTACAAACTTATATACAATAATAACCATGACGAGGTGTTGTTGTTGATGCTATAATTATTGCTGATGCTTTAACAACTAAGGTCTTTGAGCGTATATTTATGGTCTAAGTACACAATAGTCACAAACAATTAAATATTAAGTGATTTTGAAGTATCAGACACGCAGTTATACAGTATAATAATCACTGTTGTCTATTTCAGCATAATTATTTACACAATAAATTACGTTTTTGTTCCTTATTTTGTACATACTTTGTGTGTAATTCAGAAATAAATAAGAAACAAGTGAATGTAATAATGACGAGTGATTGAGGTAAAGAAGGAAAGAGGTGTCTTAGGCATCCAACACACATGACGTAGAGTAGATTACGATAAGTTAATGTCTAGATTATTAGTTTTATTTCCCTGTGAATAAGGTGATTTAGTCAAACTTGCTGCGGCAATAAGTAATAGATTAAATACAAGAAATTATAAACATCAAAATACCGTTTAGTCCTCGATAATGACATTTGCCTATGTTTGCTTCACCTGATGGTTGACGATCTGAACATGTGGAGGACATTATCAGATGTTACCCGACCACAGATGTTTATCACTACACCTGAGTAACCTGACACCTTTATGTTATATCAGCTCGAGCCCCAGTGATAATACCAAACGCCCCAAGCAGCAAGGAAATCACACACATTCAGTACATACCACGTAATGTAACTTATTGTTAATGAAACCTAACTTAACCCTAATACAGTATAGCCAAACTAATCCAGTAACATCGGGTTTGGGGATGGGGGGGCGTCAGCGAGGTCCGGTATCCGAGAGTAGGGAAGCTTTACAAGTTATCCAGACACCACCACTGCTTCTCAATATTTCGTGCGTTAAATATTTCCATGGTAACGTGAGATTTAAGCATCTAATGGTTTATTTAAGCTATGACACGAATATTGTGGACAATATAATGATGAAATTACACCGAGACTGTAAGTGGTAACCAGACATACTGATTCTCACATCCCTTGAACGTAAATTTTCATCGAACAAATATATGTGAATAGAAGCCCAGGAAATATGATATTTTAGTATCCGACGGACATGGTATCATCTTCAATCCTATATGTTCATTTTTTTTCTCCCCTCGGCCGCGTCAGTAAGCTCTGTGAACGCCTGGGTTGATGGTTTCTATTTGATGGTACAAGTATTGTTCGTAAGTGCACCAGGACCTTGGGATTACACTTATTTCTTTAATATCTGAATAGAAGGAAATTGCGACAGATAAACTAATGGCTTAATAACTACTTCCGCTCATAATAATAATTTATTCTTATTTTATCTATAAAATCATTAGATTATCAGGCTAGGTTATACAGGTTTATGTTTTATATGGCGAGATTAATTACTGTCAAAGGTTAATTAAAGAATAAAGTAGGTTTTATGTATTTATTGAATTAAAGAATAAATTTAGTTCGTGTAATAACCGCACGACATTATCAGAGACTAACATGAGTAATCAGTGCAAGAATAAGGAACCCTGTAACCCTGCAATCCAAAGTAAGGGTACAGCTAACCGTATCAAACTTCACTCAGGCTTTACGTTATTCGATCAATGAAATATTAGCGGACTTGAGGTTAGTGGTTGCATCCTGAGGTAAATGTCAAAGGTTTTCTTTTACAATCAGGGAAGGATAATCTAAATATAATAGCTCTTCCCGAAAAATAACAATGCACTTTTCTGTGTATGTGTGTGTGTGTGTGCGTCATCCTAGGCTATGTTTATGCTTCACTTTTTTACGTGTAGTTTCTCCAAGCGCATCTGCGTTTATCCTCGGGTCTGTCGGCACACCAAAAGTGTGTTAGTGTGTGCGATTTCGTTAGCGTTTTAACCTCTCCACGAGCTCAAATTTTTGAATTGGAAAAGTGGGTAAGTTATCATCTTTTAATTGTCCCGGCGGTGGGAGAGGACGAAGCTGAATGGATGTTGAAAGTGTGAGTTGTGGCCAGTGTTTACATAAATGATGCACGGTCATCAAGGCCCCTGCTTGTGTAATTGAGAAAGTTTGCAGTTTGGTGAAATGTATCCTTGACTGACCTAAAGCGGTAGTGTCTGGTACAAACTCTCCACGCACATATCTCCATCCAGTCGTAGGAAATAATTCGAAGCTAGATCAGGCGAACTTCTGGCGCCACAAAACAGACTTAGAGAACTGTAATCTAATAAACTATAGGACTAGGCGTGTGTCTGTCTGTCTGTTTGTGTGTGTGTGGGTCTGTTCTGGGCTGGCAAAACGGCACAATCGTTTTTCATCAAACTTGGTGGAAAAATCGCCAAAAGTTCGTAGAGTGCAACAAACCTGGTCCCATGTCGATGGTTTCTTTAGGAAGGCATTAATTAACCATTTTATTTACGATGGAAAACGATGCAAGTCTACGGACTTGGCGCACCCTAATTAACCATGCAAGTCTACGGACTTGGCACACCCTCATTCGCTGTACGCTGTCACGAGCGTTCAAACTCTCACAAGGACACGAAAGTGCCCGCGATCACTTGTTATACTTATACGGCTACTTACATCCCAAATTTCGTTTTAATTAACCTTTAACCAAGATTGTAACTGAAAATGAGAGAAGTTATTCTCAATATAATGTAAGATTGTTTTGGGATTTAATTTTTACTTATCTAAGGTTAATAAGTTACGCGTACAGTATTCTTAAATATTCAGTTACGAGTGATATTCATTATAAGAATCTTTGGAAAGTTGGTTCACTGGACGAGCCACGAAACCTAGGTTGAAACACCTCGTTGACTGTCATGAACTTAAGCTCAATGGCCACACCTGTGCACCCCTAACACCTGTCATCAACTTTTACCTTCCCTTACCTATATTTGAGCATTTGCTTCTAACGATCCTAACAGCTTCATCGTCTATACTGCTCTCTATGAAAATATAAATGAGTGAATGGGGGAGGAGGGTGACCTGGGAGAGAACTGTGTTTAGTAGGATAAAAAGCGAGTGGTATATTTTCCCGAGAGCCGGAAATGTCATATCCTGTATACACACAATAGACAGCCTCCTCACGCACGAGACCCGCATTATAAACAAGACACGCAAAGTAAATAAGCCGCTGTCTGGGACATTGAACACAAACCTGATCTAAAGAGCTAAGTTTATTCAATTTAGGTCTGGTTATGCTCATGCCTGCTGTCATAAATGGTTACCCTGTAAACACACTAAACATCTCAGCTCTTATCAAACACTGAGAGGCGAACCCAGTGTCGACTGTTACATAACTTACACTCAGCCTATCCTATCTACTTAAACCTAACGTAACCTAATCCCTCAAGGTAAGGTGAGGGTATTTAATCATCAGGTAAAATAAGCTGGGGCGTCTATTCACGTGATGCGATTTTGTCCCCATATTGGTTACATCTTGATTTAATAAATTTCATGAATTATCACTTAATACAAATGAAGATGTCAGAAATGTATTGAGATAACACTGTCTTTAGTTTGGAGGTGATGAAGGCTGGGTTAGAATAAGTTAGCAAGAAGGGGTCAATTGTGTGCCACTTACGGTACATGCGTCACCAAGGTCCATTGCACGACACAAGCATTACGTGATTTTTCCTTGCAAAATCAATTGTACTTGTTAAAAGCAAATCTCTGACAATCTTAACCCAACAAAGACAGTGAATTGTTCTGTTTGGTGAAGGGGGGAGAACAGCCTCCACTTCTCTTGTCCAGCTGTGGTATATTATTTGCGTCTCCGCTACCCCCGTAAGAACTCGAGGAGCACTTGAGCATTCCGTTCGACACTGAAGAGATGCTTGAGTGGCTCATCCTCCACCAGCAAGACCTTTTGTTTTGTAGTTGTGAGATAATAGGAGATAATCGAAGCAGGAAAAGTCAAGGTAAGGATCATCGTACTTCTACTCCTCGACAGGGTCACCGCAGTAAGCCTTTACCTGTATGTAAACACTAAATACCATTAAATAGAAAAAAACCCAACGTGAAACACCTTTACGATCTCTAAGTAGCGATACAGTATTCGAGTTATGAAATTAATCTTTAAGCAGTAGTGTACATAAATAGCGGACAATAAAGGTAGCATTCTTGGTAAGTCAGAAAACTGTGTCATGTCAACACCGGGCGCTACTATTTGGGCCGATTAGAAAGTGAATTACTCAGATAAACTACCCCGTAAAACAACGCTCTTTCAATATATTTGAATATTATACTTGGAAAGATCTTAACACACGTAATGAGATATATTAGATGCTTGACATTTTATCTTACGAAATTATCTCATAAAATAGTTTTGTAAATTTGGATGAGTTACGCCACCACGTTTTGTGGTTCTGTTGACACATACACAATAGCCTGTTTTGGTATCGTCTGGCGGCTTGTTGTCTCACATGTCAGGAATACGACACTTGACAAACATACACTGTAAACTTTCCGTATATGTCATGGCTTTCTATATTATAATTTATGGTAATTCTGTTTTTTCTTCAGTTTTATTCACCTATGTTTCAGACATTTTCACTTTAGTTAGTATTTCTGTGTTTTCACTGAATTTAGTTATATAGCCATTTATAATTGTGATTCATCTCCTTTGCATTTTATTCATCTTCGTCGTCAGCATCGTCGTCTGGGTATTCACTCTCCTTCTTCTTCTTCTTCTTCCTCCTTTTGGTCCTCCTCTTCTTCTTCCCCTTTGCCTTAGGTGTCCCTACCTCCTCCGCATCCAATCCTGACTCTTCCTCCTTCTTCTCTACTGTCTGTGGAAATAGGGCAATTATCTCTCTCTCTCTCTCTCTCTCTCTCTCTCTCTCTCTCTCTCTCTCTCTCGTACATGTAAGTGAAAACAGTTCATATAAAAACAATTCTAACCTAACCCACCACAATGTTCTTCCCCTATCTCTTCCACACACACACACACACACACACACACCTGCAATCTAGTGTAGTTCATATAGAGATAATCCTTACAGAGTCCGTCACATAGTTCCTCTCCACACTCTTTACAAGTGGGTAGCCTAGTCTCTGGCAGTGACCCCCTTCCTGGCACGACCTGTGAGAGGGATCAAGGGAATGTAATAGAGCTGACGACGCAGGTAAAATATACACAATAACAAAACCACAATGGATTAATACGTCTTAATAGCTGTCTTGGGTAATGTTAGTTGAAATGGCTGACTGTTTATCTTATATAACAGTTCTATTTATGTTCACCTGTTGAGTTAATTTGACTTTGCAGGATAATTTTACTGAATATCTATCTATCAGCAGTGTCATCACCTTCACAATACGACCCGTCCAGTCCTTGCCCTCCGCCTGCCGCTCTGCCTCCTCTCGTACACGCTGGAGTTGTAACCGACCCATTTCCACGTATCTGTGAAAATAACCCATAATAATACACATACAGCCATAATAATACATATACAGTTATAATAATACGTATCCAGCCATAATAATGCGTATACAGCCATAATAATACGTAAACAGCCGTAATAATACGCTACAGCCATAATAACGAGTATGCAATCATAATAATACGTTTACAGCCAAAATAATGCGTATACAGCCATAATAATACGGATACAGCCATAATAATGCGTATACAGTTAATACAATCTGGTTTTAATGAGCTATTTTTTTTACAAGATGCATTTTTTTGCTGTAGTTCTTTCTTTTAGGTGTAATACAGTCGTGTAGGTGTGAAAATGTGAGGCAATGATGAAATTCAACAGTACAAGTGTGTGGGTGGAAGTTAATAGGGGGTAATTTTTGGCGCAGCTGTTAGGTGTGTGTGTGTGTGTGTGTGAGGATAAACAAACAGTACGAAACACAACGTAGAATAAAGATGTGTGTAGCATATAGACAGATAAACAAGAGAAGAATAACAGCCTGACATAACCAACACTACAACTCACGCAGATAAACAACACAAAAGCACAGGTGTGGAGTTAGACCAAAGGTGAAATTCCACAGATGAACATATGTGGAATGGTAAGATGTGTAGTTATCAGGTCTGCAGCAACAGGTGTAAGGTATCAGGTGTGTGGTCGTCAGAGGTTTCAGGTTTGTAATAGTAAGTGTATAGTATAAGGTGAGAAGGAGTAGGTGTGTAAAGTAGGTTTGTAACAGGTATGGAGTAACACGTGGAGCAGCAGATGTGGGGTTAATATAAACATAATTTCAGATTTGAAGGAACATATATGAAGAAACAGGTGTGGTAGAGACATGTGTAATACCAGACGTGTATTTACAGGTGTGGAATTACCTGGAAAAGATGTCTTCATCACAGCGAGTCTTCGGTCTGGCTGTGGTCAACATTCTCCAGTCTATGTCCACCTGGGGGAGAGGTCAAAGGTCAATTGGTCTCTGGCGTCACTTGATGGTAAATCCCCTTTGCTTATTTCACCTTAAGATTAACTAACCTAACGCTAACTTAATCTAACCTAACGCTAACTTAATCTAATTTAACGCTAACCTACGTGAACTAAACCTAACCTTACCTGGTAGAATTCGTCCATGGTCAGGCCCTGCATGGAGTGGGGGAGGGGGTCAGCATAGCTCGCCTGGGGGCTCTCTTCCCCCCTGTGTCTCCACCCCCCCGGCCCCTCACCCATTACATCCCCTGGACGCACCTGTATCGAGAAAGAAGGGAGAGGAGGTTAATGGGAAGGGTTAAAGGTGGATATGAGAGGGTAATGGGTTAATGCTACACACACGCATACACACACACACACACACACACACTTAACCTTCATGCGTTGTTGATGAAACTCACCATCTGATAAGACCAGAGAGGGACAGACAGACAAAGACACTGAGAGAGAGAGAGAGAGAGAGAGAGAGATGTGTGTGTGTGTGTGTGTGTGTGTGTGTGTGTGTGTGTGTGTGTGTGTGTGTGTGTGTGTGTGTGTGTGTGTGTGTGAGTGCATAGATCAAGTACACATCTTATCACTACACTATCTCTTATCACCAGGTAGAGGGTCAATAAATCACACTCCCAACACCACAACATTGCCACAAGACCGTAATCAAACACCCTCACCTGTCCTAACACGAGGTACACCTGTTGAGTATATAAACAGGTGAGAGGCACCATTACCTGTGATTCTTTAAATATAGGTCATGTTAGGGGCTGTACAGATAGGGTGTTTCAAGGTGTGTTAGGGTGTATAAAGGTGTGTCGGGGTGTCTTAGGTTAGGTTAGGTTAGGTTAGGTTAGGTTAGGTTAGGTTAGGTTAGATCTCGTAAGCTTTATTGAAAAAAAATTGCTCTCTCTCTCTCTCTCTCTCTCTCTCTCTCTCTCTCTCTCACCTTCTCGGGTCGTATCTTGTACTCGGGGACCTTCTCAAACGCCTTATCAAAGTCTTCTCTGCTTCTGATCTTAGTACGGAAGAGGTCGAGGGCTTGAGCGGGCGCCTTTACCACCGTTAGCATGTCTTCCAGTTTGATGGTCATGCTGGCGACGAGAGAGAGAGAGAGAGAGAGAGAGAGAGAGAGAGAGAGAGAGAGAGAGAGAGAGGTTCTATTATCCCCCAGTTTTAAGTTTTAACCCCTTGTAATAGACCTCCTTAATAGAACCCCCGTCTTTGATTGATATTTACATTGATATCCCGATTAAGGGCTCGTTATGGACTGGGGGCCCATTTTAACTGGGGCCCCAATGCTGGTTACGTTAAGCTAAATTAGAAATGGGGCCCGATTGTTCAACCCTCAGAAACTATACAATGCAATCATAGCCAAATACACTTAAAAAAAACATTACCATTCTTACCTTGCTGTTTATATTAGGTTCTCTCAAGACGAAATATTAAATCAGGGCCACAAATGAGCTCTCAGGTGTACCAATTCTCTTCCTTTACCTCACGAAACTCCTTGATACTGTCTCTGCTATGGGCAACTGTTTATCACCCAACACAAATGGATTCTGAAACGGGAAGAAATATTTTAATGGTTGGTTTCCTGTTTATATATCATTACTTATTTCTGCAAGATAGTCGACTTTCGTGTTTAGTTATATAGCCTGTAAACTATAACTCTGGGTATTAGAGCGTGAAATATACCACATAATATAGAACAGCTCTTGTCAGCACTATAAACCAAACGAGGAGCGTCCCTAGCAACCAACTTAGCAACCGATTAGTGTTGGCGTTCGTAGAAATGAATCCGTCTACACTGAAGGCGGAACTGAATAAGAGAAATGCAAAGCTTTCTCGAGGGGGAGGGGGTAATTATGAATTGTTCTTATAAAAGTGGATTAATACTCCCGATTAGGGTTATATATGGAGTAATTAGCTCATAAGTCAAAGTTATTGTTGTCTATGTACCGTTCTCATCCCAGTCTTCACACACACACATACACACATACAAGAATCCATTGCCGTATTGAACATGACGTTACCTCACCATTATTTCCTCATTTCCGAATTCTTTAGAATATATACGATAACTTTTCGTCCTGGGAATAATTCAGTATTATGCCAGGGAGGATATGACGTCACGACCATCATGCTTTGCGGGGATCTTTGCTGTCATGGGCGGAGTCATGACAGTATGGTAGTATCTATGGTAGTGGTAATGATAAAATGACTGATGCTCCATTGATATATATGGGAGGCAGAAGTAGCTACTGTTATATTCGACCTATTTTAGCTGATATATAGGAATAACAATATAGAAAAGATTTAATTTGTTGGGTAGGCCTATAAGTATTGTATTTGTTTTACCTTATGTGGTCTTATATTAATTGCTATATTATTATACTAAATTAAATCTTGAAGGTTGAATTTATATGAGTATGAAGGCTTAAACTACACGCTTATAATTAAATATAAAAATATGGTTTTTCTCAATAATTTATGTAATTAACATCACCTACAGTATATACAAAGTTACCTTGTACTGCACCAATTAACTTCAGAAACAACTAAGTTTCTAAGATAATTTGAAGAGCATGATTGGGATATTTTATGTGACTATGTAAAGTGATGGTGATATAGGGAGAAATAGTGTGGAGGAGTTTTGAGTCATCACCGAGTATTTTCCCTGAGTCACGCCATTGTAGCACCCAACCAGACCCCCACCACCTTCAACGTCTTAACTTATTGTAATATTAAAAAATCTGTTTCCTCCGATAGTAATGTATATTATTTGAGGGTTTTTTTATTCTTGTTACAAAGTGGAAACATTAGAACATTCGAGGTGAATGAGATATTAACTAGTTGCCGACCAAGAGTGTTTTCATGATCAATACCGCGCGGCAGAACCCGGCTGTGTGAGTTGCCAGTTTATCTACCGGCTTTGATTAATGACCATCGTTACAATTCACGTCAAAAGTAGCAATATCTTAATTATATTATTTATTGGTTTAATGAGTAATTCTGGAGAATAGTAAGCCACTGGGGTCCTGGTGTACGCTGCATAAAATAGTAGTTTGCAATTACTGTTGACTCAGTAACAGTGGTACGGGCAGGCGCAGTCATGAGCTCGGCTGTAAATTTTCCCTAAAACAGGGAAATTCTGTCTCCCTGCCACCCGGCCCTGGATGATATCGCATTTTTCGTATTATTGCAAACAAGAATATTTATTATTAATAAAATATACAGTTTAAGATGACTCAGCATATGATACCACGGTGAAAATAACAACAGTAAGTTAATAATAACTAATTTTATCAAAGAGCTACTACGTTAATACTGAGAATATTGATATTAATATTCTTACTTTGCTTAAATAAGTTACATATATGGATCCTTCATAAAGCGAAATACAATATTCTACAGACACAGTCAATGTAGTAATGTCTGGAACTCTATAATCAGGAGACAGACAGACAGACATATATGTAGTACAGTAGCGGCCAGTGGGGAGATGAATCAGCACATCGTCACTGCTCACATTTATATATAAACCTTTTGGTGTTGAGAAGAGAAATGAGTTTTAGTCAGTTTTAAGGTTAAATAACATCATCATCTACTAGGTGAAAAAATATCTTAACAAATTTTTCTATAAATATATATATAATAATATTCGTGTTATACTCAAAGAACATTTCAAGAGCATTTCTTGAATTATTGTCGGTAAATTTAAACATTCTAACTAACATAATGTAAATATCTATATATAAAGTTATCACAGTTATGACATATCCCCTCAAAAAAAAAACATTAAAAACTGCAACAGCTAGCAGGGAAACTTCCATACAATAGCATCCCTAGACTGACAGGTAATATAGGGGAAAAGTTGGGGCACATGGCCAGCTTTTCTCCCTGACACCTCCCCCGTCTTCCCCGCACTAGTGTGTCTCCAGCATCGGTGGTGTGAGTGTGTATCCATTTAATATTTTCGAGGATCTGTGCTGATACAGGTACTAAATGAAGGAGTATTTCTTGTATTTAATTAATTTCCTAATGAGTAACAGTAAATGCATCTTATTCTGTGTGTTTTTACAGAGATTATGAGATACGGTTTTGTTGTCTGCTCGTGGCTGGGTGTGGACCAGTTGTCCCAAATTTCGGTCCCTGAACAATATGGGGTGAGCCTGATGTGCGTGTTTGGCTTATGAGGATATATTATTATATTTTCTTCAGCTAATATTAACGCAGGAAATTTCTTTATTGTGTTATAAGGTTGCCGTTCAAACGTGTACACACACACACACACACACACACACACACACACACACACACACACACACACACACACACACACACACACACACACACACACACACGAATGCATTCATACATTTTATATATATTATGAAAGCGGAAAATTATACTGTCTTTGTATTATACACACGCATACTCAAATAATGATAATACAGCTCTAACAACAACAATATTAATGTCAGTAGTGGTAGTAGTAGTAGCAATCAGATAGCAATATTAGCATGATCATTGCCATTTAAATTTAATGACAATTTTGTTCTTCAGGAAATTGTCATATTTGCGCCATTCTGAGTAATTATTGTTTAGTTGAATTTCGAACGTAAATATTTGTATTATATTTGCCTTAGGGCGATAAATGGATTGGATTGTCTCGTATATCAAATTCGAATTCGATGTTATATTAGTACAGTATATACTAGCAGCGAGTAGTCCATATATCATTGTTATTAATTACCGTGGATATAAGCTGGAAGTTAATATTTTTTTTAATTGGTAAAATATTAAAATGAGGATTGATTTATATGGATAAACACAAGAATAATAACATTTATAGTTTTAGTTATTTTACTTATTTACACAAAACGATACAGTAATTGTGAAAAGCAAACGTTATGATTCTCACACTGTACAGTAGATTCAATGTTAGGTTATTTTGATTTATATTTCATTTAAAGTTTGTTAAATTCATCTGTGAACGTATCTAAACTAGTGAACTTATGGCTTCGTGGGTTTAGAAGTTTGTGGAAATAACTAAGTGTCGGAGCCCCAACTAATCAAATTTTACGTAATATGACCATAGATTTTGTGAGTTCTGGGTGAAAAGTAACAGTGTCCCATAGGCATGACTTTTAAGTATTCATAACAAGTAAGCGATATTGTACACGTTTATTTCAGTGTTTATAATGTAATCAACAGATATGCCATAATATTATTCAAGATTTAACTCATAAGAAATGTTTATATTATTTCTATTGGAATAAAATTTGGATTATTACAAGGCAGAGTATTATTATTATTATTATTATTATTATTATTATTATTATTATTATTATTATTATTATTACAGATTGTTATTGTTAGTATATTCACTTTCTCATTCTGTCATACCATAAGTGACCTACCATAGTATTCAGCTGTCACAAGGCTAAAACATATCATCATCCTAACCTTTAAAAACAAATCCCAAATCTTTTCAATTCAACCTGTGATATTTCCAATTTAATCCACCTTGTTTATCATTACCAACCTTTTACATACATCTCCGCCGACAAAAATATACACTCACACATATGACACATCGATCGACACACAACGAACACTTGTACAGGGTATTGATGTGTCTGGGGCTCTGAGTGGCGGGGTTTGTGTGAGTGTCATGTGATATTGTCATGCAGTGTGTTGTATACAGTAGAGCTGTCACTGTATCAAGGTCATTGTTTTGTAAGTGTCGTGAGTGTAAGTGGTGGTGATTTTATTTATTTTTTATTTTTATTTTTTTTTACGATATTTGGGAGGAGGATTATTTACCTCTCTCTCTCTCTCTCTCTCTCTCTCTCTCTCTCTCTCTCTCTCTCAATACCACTTGTAGCCCCCTGCCACCACCACCACACTAACATACCACAACCACAACCAAAGTCACCTCTATACTCCTGCAACGACCATATCATCACTACAGTACCACCACACCTCACCATCACCACCACCTCACCATCACCACCACCACCATCACCACCACCATCACCACCACCACCTCACCATCACACCATCTCACCACCACCACCACCATCACCACCTCACCATCACCACCATCTCACCATCACCACCACCACCTCCCCATCACCACACCTCACCATCACCACACCTCATCACCTCACCTGGTTCACCCGCTGATTGGTATCGACCTTACCTGGTGCTTTTCTTTTGTGTTTCAATATGTGAAGTGTCCCGAGGGTCTCTCTCTCTCTCTCTCTCTCTCTCTCTCTCTCTCTCTCTCTCTCTCTCTCTCTCTCTCTCTCTCTCCTTTTATTTACCATTTTTCTTGTTTATTCATTTGATCCATCCATACATCTATTTTCAACCTCTGTCAATTATCTATCTATCTATCTATCTATCTATCTATCTGTCTATCTATCTATCTATCTGTCTATCTATCTATCTATCTTGACTAGGAGGCACAGGGCAGCGGGTGAACTCAATAAATTAGGTGGTCATTATCGCAAGGTAATTTATGGGGTAAGTTATCGACCAGTGAGCTATTCTGGTGTGAGAGAGAGAGAGAGAGGGGGGTGGGGAGGAAGATTGACAGAAAGGGAAAAGAGAGAGAGAGAGAAAGGGAAAAGAGAGAGAGAGAGAGAAAGGGAAAAGAGAGAGAGAGAGAGAGAGAGTAACATGGGTTCGTGAGACTGTCCAGCCATCCTCTTTAATTGTTATAAAGGTTTGTACTGGGTCAACTTTCTCTCTCTCTTTCCCTCTTCCTCCTTCCCTTTCTGTTAATCCTCTCTCTCTCTCTCTCTCTCTCTCCAACACAGCCCCTTCCCCCTCACCACCACACCCCTTTGACAAATGACCAACCAGTGACGTGCAACCGTATCCTACAACGTCATAGATCCTTCTTCTATGACGTCACATCCATACCCAATCACCATTCAGATCGCGCAATATTGACCAATCACATCCAGATAACCCCCCTGTGACGTCAGACCCGCTTCCTATGACGTCAGACCCTAACTCAGTGAAGTCACATCCACTCCCTCTGACGTCAGCAGAGGGAAAGAAAATAAATATACTTGTTTTGTTTTTCTCCCTCAGCTGTCATTGTTGACTCGACATGATTGTTCGGTTTGATATTTTTTCGTTCGATCTTGACACTTTTCCTGGTAGTTAAAGTCGTCGTTAATAAAAGAAATATCGATGCAAAATGGAATAAGACAGAGAGAGAGAGAGAGAGAGAGGGGGGGGGGGTAATTGGATAGGTGGGTAAACAGGTCGGTGTATTGATAGAGCCAGATGTACATACATACATACATACATACACATATACTGTACATACATACATACATATACACACACAGGACGAAAGCATCGATCGAAACATTTAAAGAGAAACATCTACCAGGTGAACCTTGGTGTGTGTGTGTGTGTGTGTGTGTGTGTTTATGTCATGATCGTACAGTACTTTCTTCTTTACGTAACTACTGCAAATACACACACACACGCACACACACACGCACACACACACACACACACACACACACACACACGATGGTAGCATATAGCCTCAGTCCTATTGGGCTCCAACCTAACCTAGCATGGCCGGGTCTGTTTAGAATCGATCCATCTCAGAACTGGGGTCTATTATAACTGGGGTCTATTAGAACCGGGGTCTATTATAACTGGGGTCTATTAGAACGGGTATATTAGAACTGGGGTTTATTAGAACTGGGGTCTATTAGAACTGGGGTTTATTAGAACTGGGGTTTATTATAACTGGGGTCTATTAGAACTGGGGTCTATTAGAACTGGGGGTGTTAGAACTGGGGTTTATTAGAACTGGGGGTCTATTAGAACTGGGATCTATTAGAAATGGGGTCTGTTAGAACTGGGGTTTATTAGAACTGGGGTTTATTAGAACTGGGGTCTATTAGAACTGAGGGCCTATTAGAACTGGGGTCTATTAGAACTGAGGCCTATTAGAACTGGGGCCTATTAGAACTGGGGTCTATTAGAACAGGAGCCTATTAGAAGGGTGGAAGGAGGAGCTAGGGATAGGAGGAGCTGTGGAAGGAGGAAGGGAGGTGGGAGGAAGAGGAGGAGGGGGAGGGAGGAAGAGGAGGAGGGGGAGCTGGGAGGAAGAGGAGGGGGGAGGTGGGAGGAAGAGGAGGAGGGAGCTGGGAGGAAGAGGAGGGAGGTGGAGGAAGAGGAGGAGGGGAGCTGGGAGGAAGAGGGAGGGGAGCTGGGAGGGAGAGGTGGGAGGAAGAGGAGGAGGGAGCTGGGAGGAAGAGGAGGGGGAGCTGGGAGGAAGAGGAGAGGAGGGGGAGCTGGGAGGAAGAGCAGGAGGGGAGGTGGGAGGAAGAGGAGGAGGGGGAGCTGGGAGGAAGAGGAGGGGGGAGCTGGGAAGAGCAGGAGGGAGTGGGAGGAAGAGGGGAGCTGGGAGGAAGAGCAGGAGGGGGAGCTGGGAGGAAGAGGGGGGAGCTGGGAGGAAGAGGGGAGGGGAGCTGGGGGAAGAGCAGGAGGGGAGCTGGGAGGAAGAGGAGGAGGGGGAGCTAGGAGGAAGAGGAGGAGGGAGCTAGGAGGAAGAGGAGGAGGAGCTGGGAGGAAGAGGAGGAGGGGGAGCTGGGAGGAAGAGGAGGAGGGGGGAGCTGGGAGGAAGAGGAGGAGGGGGAGCTGGGAGGAGAAGGATTATAGATGGGACTCCCAGCATCCAATTCCCAGAGTACGGCTACTTTCTGGTATTGGGTAACGTGGCTGTGATTCTCAGAGCTTAAAGTTTATTCCTAAGATCAAGTTTTCATCGTTTCGTTCTGATATATGTATAAAACTTGATGTTGTTCTGAATGATCTTAAGTTCAATTTGATCAGCTGAAGATTAAGGGAAATTATATTGAAAATTTTCCCCGATTATTTATAGACCTTCGTGGAGCCCCTGAAATATTGACCTGGACCTAAGTTTAAGAACCAGTGCTCCAATATGAACGCC